AATACATGATGCACGGATTGGCCGATGAAATAACGCCTCAAAAATCGCTCGTGTGCGCCTAGCCTAAACCATATAAATAATTTGTCTTTCAAACACTGCGCAACATGTTTTTAGGTTAGGCTAAATCCAAACATTGAATGAAATGGGGAAAGCTGCACCGCGATCGTAGTCCTAATATCTTTAAGTGTTGCCAAATTATTTTTAAGCGTACACGGATTAAGTGCATAGTAAAATCACGCTGTTTCGTGTTGTTTGGTCGGAATGCTGGTGTGAGGAAAAAAAAACCTTTGGAAATGAAAAACTGAAAATAGAAATATGGTCTACAGTTTGGACTTCCTACTTACTTAAATTTTTTATCTTTATGATTCTTTTAGTTATTTGTTATTGTTATCAGTATATAAGTCATTGCTATTTGACTAATGTGTTTCCTCAAAGAGACTATTAGGGTTATATAAACTAATTATACCATACAAATAGCCATGCTTTGAATTTAATTTTACTCGGTTTGAATATCTGTGAGTTTAGTTCCATCAGCAAATTTCCCAAATAGGCCTAGGGAACAAGCTATTTTTACGTATTATCAATCTTGTGTTTTGAAAATTCTAGGAAATGGATAGTGAAATGGAAAAACACACATCCATAATGAAAGACATCCAAAAAGGCCAAGAGGAATCAACTAATAAGCTGAAAGAAGAATTAAAGGTAGAAGAAAAAGTAAAAACCGACTATGAAAATGAATTACGAGGTCTTAAAAAACAACTGAAGACATTAAAGAATGAGGAGGTAAGAGTACTCATCCTGAAAGTCAGAAATTAGATAGTGCAGGACCTTGTAAACAATCAAAGCGAGCCCCTACTACTTACTAAAAGTTTCCCCCCCCCCAACCACCATAATGTTGCTCATGCTCATAGGATGATACATTTCTGTGATCACAGCAACATCCGTGGTCATCTCTCATAACACGACAACAATGGTAATGATTTTTCAAATTGCAGCGACACTCGTGAGTAGGGCAGTATCTTGATCAGAGTTCAGTTCAGCAATCATGATTTTTTAATTGACACGACAACAGAAAAATAGAACAAGCAATAGGATTATTTGGGATTATTCCAAATCAAAATTTGGAAAGACTTAAAATATGTTTTCTGTATTTTTGCCCCTTTCGCACATGCCTAAGGCCGTCTCTGGTCCTAACATCCAAATAATTTCAATAAACTCCACAAATTGTTGAAGAAATTTTGGTTCACTGTCATAAAATATGTGTATCTATTCATGTACAGTATGTGTGAATAACTATTCCAAACTGATTTTTGTACCAAAGACCTTTGCAACCCTGTAAAACTGGTTATCTTTAGCTCAGATAGTTTTCTGTGAGTGGAGAGGAAAATGTTAATAGTTTAAACAGCAGAATTTAATCTTGGAACATTTGGAACTTCTTTATCCTCATAAAGAACGAAAACAAAAATGATTACCTTTTTGAGTTGTTGTAGTAAATTATTATATACCTATTATTAATACTCTACTAAAAAAGTTGTGATCTGTATGTTATTTTGTTTGAAAGAGCACTGCCTTTTATTTTGTATGCTAAATTCAGTAACCAGAAAGATAATAATAAGGTGATGACAGAGAATTTGTCCTCCAAAAAGAGGTTTAAAAAAATTAACAAAACAACAACAGATATCACCTAATAACATTTCCCCAGTAATGACATCTTTTTACAATAAGAACCCATTTCCAAACATTTGGTCTGTTCTTTATACACCAACTACTGTTGTTACAATGTAAAATGTTGCCAACCCGGGTAATGCTGACAGCTGGTCCTCAATTACTGTGCTTCCTTTAAAACAATCCTTAATGTTGGCTTCACTGGACGGAAGTTTGCTCTGTCTAAGCATAGATGTGTTTATTTGGACAACAAACTTTCACAGTAAGTTTTATGTTGTACATATAGGTTACTGTGATATCAAAGTACAATTCTAAGAAGAGTGGTATGTGATTAAGGTTATTTTTAAATAAATATACTGCGTAAAGAAATAATACATTATCAATTATTGGTTGCAGCTTATGAAACGAAGCAAAATAGCTAAAATGGAGAAAAGACAGCAAGCAATAATTCAAGAAATTAACGTCACTCGTGAGGATATTGCCCAAGCTGTTGCTGGAAAATCTCAGGTAATGTTTCTCGCCATTATGACTACATTTGTTTTTCCCATACCAACGTTTTCTTTCTAGTTCTAGTTTAAATTAATATTTAATACATTTACCGTACCTAAATCGTCACAATATTACCGCGATATTATTATCTCCGATAGGCAATAGCAGGATCGGATAATGCAAGGAGTCATATAAGCCAAGGTCATATTAGCAAAGTTCTACTGTTTATTATTCAGTGTCTAATTATACTGTTACGGACTTAACGGGTTCTCTACAATAAAAACTTGGCGATTTTATAATAACCATTTATTTACACTAAATATTCTCTATTTACAATAATTACAATTTCCCAACACCTAACTAACCCTACCTAACCTAGCTAAAGCCGAGATTATTCTAATTTACAATGATCTACTTACACCTAACCTCTACAGGAGTTATCTATATCTCTGTCACTACACTGTCACTGTCACTGCCACTGATCACTCACACCGGCTGGCGGTCGCTGCGATGATCCTCGGACTTGACCCGCTAGACTCAACTCAACTCAACTGCCGTGTGCCGGAAGACGGTCCCTTAGATAAGCTTGCCGTGGAACATTCTAGAGGGATCATGCCCCTTCGGACAAAGCTGTTTACAGATTGCCGTGGAAGCTGTAGAAGGTTCTGGGCCTTCTATTCACGTAGTCCGTTGACATGGGTCTATTGTCTATCACTGGTGCGTTCGGAGAATCCATGTTGACAAACAACCCTTTTGAGACGGTGCCTGGCTATTGTTGCGCGGGGCTCCTGACTTGTAACAATACTTATTATTTTCCCCTCAGAATTATATTTCAAACAAGTTTTTCATGACACACAGGATAGCTAAAAAGTCTAATTTGAGGTGCAGCTACTAAAGATTCTAACCGAGCCGTCCACTGTAGGCTTCCGCCACCCTTTGTTCTATAGAGATGTCTGCTCAGCCACTGAACCTAAACCCTAGAGTAGAAAGTTTAAACTTGACTACCAGGTTGCAGCACAAGTCCGCTATAGCTTTCAGCTGGTGTGTTGACTTACTTGCAAGGAGAGGTTTGGTTTGGTCATACTAATCTTGTATACCTGAAAGGGTTATTACAACATGTTTTTTACGTTTGCAGGACAGCACCAGAAGGTGGGTGGAGTCTGTGCCTCAGGATGAGTTTGAATTCAGCGAAGTTTAAAGAGTGTTTAGTTACAACTGTGATAGTGCTATTTAGAATAAGAATAATGTCATGGGTGCTTTAAGCAAAGTGCCTATTTTGCATGGATGTTAATATATAACTAATAGATTTATGGGTTAATAAGATATTAGAGAAGTTTCACTAGTTTAATTTAAAATATAGTCTATTATCTTAAAACTAAGAAGTGATATCATACAATTTGTTTTTGTTTTCTCTTTTGTAAGATTAGTTATGTAAGACTATTTATTTGTCATTCTAGCAATAGATTTGAAGGAAAAACTATAAATTAGTATGTCTTTGCAGTAAGATTAGTTTTTCTTTTAAATTACGTACTTTAACTTACTTTGTTTTGAAATATTTTTTAATATAATTTTTTGTTTTGTTTATGTAACTAAATGCTTTGGTCTGAACTCAAGAAACTAATTTGTGTTACATAGACCCAGTTGAAAATAACTAAGCATTAAAATTCTGTCTTTGAAATTTCTGTTTTTCATTTATATTTAATTACTAGCTGTACTTGCGGGCTTTGCCCCGTTTAACTTCGCTTTAAATTCGCTCTTTAACATAAGTATTCGCATAGCTCATTCACGTCCTGGTTGAAGTTCGTTCGCTACGCTCACTCACCTTTAGGTTGGAACTCGTTCACTGCGCTCACTTGCCTTCAGGTTAGCTCGTTCGCTACGCTAACTCGCCTCCAGGTTGAAGTTCGTTCGCTACGCTCACTCACCTTTTTGTTGCAAATTAGCTGTTGTCATAAATTTAAAAAAATATAATCGTGCTGCACCCTGTTGGTAATCCTTGTAACTTTTATGCTATTGAACATCATAGAACAGAACCAACTTGATTAATTAAAACAGCTGTTAAGATTCATTAATTCCTTTTAAATATGAAAAATCATAAGGTTAACATGGGGAAACTACAGAGCCACTGGGGCGGAGCCCGAAAGGATTTTTGAGATAAGAATATGCTTTAATGTTAATCGGGAATGTGAGCTATCATCATGCCAAATTTCAGCCCAATCCGTCCAGTAGTTTATGCGTGATTGAGCAACACACACACAAACACACACACAAACTCACTGTTAAAAGTCAAAAATGGAAAGAGAAATAGACTAGATAATGAGCAGAAAATAATTTGATTATTCACAAAAGAAAAGTTACTCAATCATAGTAAAATGCTACCAAACTATATTCCTGTAATCACAACATAACAATTCATTCAAAAATCATATGTCTCAAAATTATAAAAGTTCATATTTTCATAGCAGCTGGAAAAGACAATACAAAATATAAACCATAGATTATTTAAATGAAATGTTTGTATACTATATCCAACATTCTCCCACCTTTTGACTTGCAAAGTCAAAATATTAATTATTAATTCAGGTATCTTTGTGGGGGTATAATTTTTCTTCCTCTTTGTGTGTAAACAGGTTGATCCTGTTCACGATCAACACCTTCGGCTACTTGTTCATCTTCCATTTCGAATGTTTCATTACCATCTTGATTAATCCACAAAAAACGAAGAAAATCTCTTATCGCCCCTATGTACACCAATCTGCAGAAAAGCCTTCTCGATGTTGGCAACAACTCCATATCTGTGTAGTCTAAAACGATTTAATATGGACGGAATCAATTCAATTAGATTGTCACCTTTTTCTAGACAACTCGTTCAACGAGGGCTGATTCTTTTCTTTAGCAGATGCATCAAATACAGGTCTCAATTTCGTGGTAAGACTGTTTTCTTTTATCACATGTCGATGCGGTAGGTAGTGACCAATTTCCAAATCAGCATCGTTAACTTTCTCTATGATACCTAATTCCTCCCAGTCAGACAACACCTGTTGATATGAACTAAGATATCCACTAGAATTAAGTTTATTTGTAAGATTACTGAGTCTCTTCTGTGCTACTTTCAAATTAGTAGGTAACGGTGGGTGATCTTCAACCCATGGCAATTTGACCTGATATCTGCCATCATTTTCCACTGAAACAGATTCTACAAAATGTTCCATTGTTCTACTTTTAACTGAAGATTCACTCTTTACCTCCACTGGATCCTTGATTCCTAAAACATCCAAACTCCACAAATCTGAAATGGATTTATTATCAATAGGAGAAAGTAAAGAAATTACTGCCATAGAACTGGACCTGTCATTCCCTTCAACTGTAGTTCTTCCCATTAAAGTCCAGCCCAACAAAGTGTGCATCGCAACTAACCCGTTGGAAAGCAGATATCGTTTCTCAGTGTATAGTTTCCCGGCAACGTCTGCACCTATCAGAACTTCAATAGGCCCGTCTCCATCTGTTACATTAATTCCCAGTGTTCCAAGCTCAATGGACCAAGGACCAGGCTTAACTGCTGTAACATCGTTACAAATTATATCTTGATCAAAAACGTCAAAATTGCAGGCATAACTGTTATTTAAGTCACTTAGTCTAACCTTATAACACGCATGTTGAATTGCTTCAGTACTAGTGCCACCAAATAAAGCATGAACTAGCTTCTCCTTTCTGACTATGTCGTAGCCAAATTCCTTTGCTGTATTTTTCAAAATATAAGATCGTTGTGATCCCGTATCTATTAAAGCACGTGCTGTTCGCTCTCGATTTTGGTTTCTAATTTTTACTAAAAAGGTTTGTAAAAACACTTCTGTGTGAACATTGTTTGCTAGAGAACTTTCTTTGCTTGGTTGTTCACTCAATGAACTTCCTTCTGCAGCAGATGCCCTACACATAACAGCAGTGTGCCTCCTTCCACAATTGGGACATTTTACTCTAACTTTACATTGCGCACTCCTATGACCATACTTCAAGCAAGTAAAGCAACAACCATTTTTTCCAACGATTTTCACCTTCTCGTCTACTGTCAATTTACTGTCTTTACAGTTTTCAGCTAAGTGGTTAGAACCACAAAACATACATTTAGCGTCTTTAGTATTTAACTTATCAAACTTCGTTGGGTTAACTAAACCAGCAGCTGTCGGCATCATTTCAGTATGTCTGGCGTAACTAGGCTTAGGTCGAAATACAGTAGATTTACTTACTTTAGGCTGTAGTTTAGGTCGCTTACTATTTTCAAAACCAGATGCGGCTAGAGTAATCTTTTCTTCGTTAGCAACCTCCTTTTGCAGAAACTTCATCAAACCATCAAGTCTATCCTTAAGTTCAGCATCAACTTCATAGCCGGAGTGACGCTGCCAAGCTCTCAACAGTTCCTCGGGCAAACAAGACTCTATAAGAGGATATAACATAGCAGAAAATTTGTCAGTTGTTACTCCTAATGTCTCCAATGCTCTTAGTTGGGTTTCCAGTTTATCGTAAATGCAAGAAACTTCTACCTTACTGTTTAAATTACTCAGCACTAACTTCAAAAGTTCTCTAATATACACTTCTATGAGAAGGTCATCTCTACCAAAACGACTTTTAAGACTTTGCAAAGCTTTTGAATAGTTCCCAGCGGTAGCAGGATAACTTTTGACCAGCTGACGAGCCCTAGAATTAGCTAAAGTAGCCTGCACAAGATAATGATATTTATCAATATCGTCGATATTCTCGTCATCATCTATTCTTTTGAATTGTGCCCAAAAAGGTAGCCAATCCTTCAAATCCCCGCTAAACTTTGTGAATTCAATAGTAGGTAGCCTCAGCTTAGTCCTAACAGCAGTAGATTTACTCTTTACAGACCCATCGGAATTAGGTGAAGTGGCCCTAGACTTAATCAATCTACTCTGTACAGCTAAACTAATTCGATTAAACTTCTCTACATATTCATCTGCTATCCTAACTTCTTCATTTAACTCTTCTTCATCTGCTTCAGAATCAAGCAAGAAATCTAAAATTTCCCTGTCCAAAGTTTTTAGTTCTTCTATCTTACCTTCCAGAGAACTCAATTTACCCTGTATATTGTGTAGGTCTTGCTCATCTTTGCATAGCTCCTCATTTATCCCATTATAAATTCTGGTAAATGCTGTTCTGAAGGTTTTTCTTAGTTTCCTATTTCTTTCCATTATCTCAATAGTGACTATCTGGTTAAGAACTCATACAGTCCTGTCTAGGTCGCCAAATGTTAAAAGTCAAAAATGGAAAGAGAAATAGACTAGATAATGAGCAGAAAATAATTTGATTATTCACAAAAGAAAAGTTACTCAATCATAGTAAAATGCTACCAAACTATATTCCTGTAATCACAACATAACAATTCATTCAAAAATCATATGTCTCAAAATTATAAAAGTTCATATTTTCATAGCAGCTGGAAAAGACAATACAAAATATAAACCATAGATTATTTAAATGAAATGTTTGTATACTATATCCAACATTTGGTTCCCATGCCGGGAATCGAACCCGGGCCTTCTGGGTGAAAGCCAGATATCCTTATATATATAGATATCTGCTCATTATCTAGTCTATTTCTCTTTCCATTTTTGACTTTTAACACTCACAAACTTTCAGATTTATAATATTAGTAAGACAGTACTGATAATTGATGACATATATGTTAAATGAAAGTAGGTTGTAAATCAATTTATAAAGAGGAATTTATTCAAGATTCTATTTTGGATTCGGCACTTTACCCATCAATCCCACAATCTACGGCTAGCACAACATGTAGTTGTTACATCAATAAGAGATGGGGACGCCACCTCTGACTATTCATACAACTACTGTAGACATTCCATCCCCATGTAAAAGTTGTTGCCTGCTTTTTAATCAAAACCACCAACAGATTGATACACAAACCTGTTCAACAAGTCAAACTAATGGAATGACTTATTGTGAGCTATAGCAACTGTTATGACCTGTCAACGTAGTCGGTAAAAGAAATAAGGTACAAAATATAATTTTAGCACTCACACCGGAAAAATCAGATTTTCTCGAAAATGGCCCGATCGATTTTGATAAAAATTTAGTATGTTGTACTGAACAAAATTGTACTAATCCCATTTCCGTATATTTACTCTCACCGCTGATAAAGGTTGTTGACAAACTTATGGGAGGAAGTACGTGTCAGAATGCTGATACCGTTTATTTTATTAATGGTCTGTTCAGAGATAGCTATTTCCACTAGTTAAGCAGTATGATCAGAGAGCCCTGGTTGTAATATCCGGGTATTTTTGACAGAACAATTTGTTATTATATGATCAATACAAGTTTGCAAATTTTTAGCTATTCTAGTTGGTACATTGAAACATAAATGCAAGCCATAAGCACCAACTATATCACTTAACATTTTTTAATACTTGTCATTTTCCAATATATTTACATTCAAGTCTCCACCTAAAATTATATGTTGCTTTAATTTTTCCTACTTGCCAAACTTTCTAGTAATAATTCTAATTGGGTGCAAAATATTTCAAAATTATGTTTATCTGGAACTCTGTAAATGGATAGAATGAAATAGGTGGAGTATTTCAGGGTAAGCTCTATTACACTAAATTCAAAAATGTAAATCATAGCCAGATTTTCATAATCTAAAACAACTTATTTAGCTTTATCTAATAACGCTTTGCTAACCAATATACAAGAGCCTCCTTTCTCACCTTCCTTTCTAAAATAACCCGATACATATGACAATCCTGAGTTGTTTAGGAGTTCTTTATTGTCATCTCCTAACCAATGCTCAGACAATAGTAATATTTTATATTGACTATGGTACTTTGACAAAAAATATTTAACTCTTCTAACTTTTTGGCACAACCCTGGATGTTGTAATGAAAAATAAGCATGTTTATTTCCCCCCAAAAAAAACCGTTATCATTGAGATTACTGCATCCCTTGCTTACATTTATTTGCTTATCTCCCCTATTACTAATATTTACAAAAGCTTTTCCTGCTGTATCTATACATCCATCAACTACTCCCAGCACACCTTCTGGAATGTCCCTATGCACAACACATGACACTTTCACCTGGTAGATGTAGCCCCGGAGCTGAAGAAGGAGACTGGGCTGTGCACACCTCTGATGTGTTGCGCTCCATCGCCTGTTGTGGGTTGCTGTCGCTGCCATCAGTTGATCTTGACAGAGAACCATTCACTTCACTACACTGCTGTTGCTTGTGCAGTAGTGGCTCTGGCAGAGGAGGGAAGTTAGACAAGTCTTGAAGTGATAACTGGGTGGGTTGCATGATGTCTTTGGCTGCTTCCTCTGGGATTGGTGATCTAGTGACTTTGGAGCTATCATTCAAGGTAGGTTCGGCTTCACTCATATTCTGGTGAAAGGTTACTGCTGGGCTAGATGGGTCAGCATTGTAATATTTTGGTGAGTTTGATTTAGTTAGAGTAAGAGAGCTCTTAATTTAACTCTTAATTTGTTTTTTAAGTGACCCAGTTCATTGTTAAGGATTCTGACCGAATATTGACCGTGGTGGGCGATTAGGGATGGGTCACTAACAGCTATGATATCCAGCAGTGTGTGAGCAGTGGCAGTGTGATGTGTGGCAAGTTAAGGCGAGACGGTAATGTTGCAGGAGAAAAACACATTTGTAAGTATAGTTTGGTCATAAGTAAGTGGTCCCAGTAGATCAGTGTTAAAATCACCCATCACAATGACATGACTATAGCGAGGCAGCATAGACCCACCAAATGCTGTCCAAACTCCGCCAAGAACCCTATGTGAGGTGCTCTGTAACAAACACAAATCAAAAAATGTGTTTTAACACAAAATTCCAAAAAACAAATATTCAGGTCTACCCACTGTTTCTGAGCTTTAAAAGTACAAAGTGAGACTTAACATAAACAGCAACTCCTCCACCACACTTATGGAGACGGTCATTTATAAAAATGTGGTAGCCAGATAATTCAACACATTTGTCATTTAACAAACGTTTGAGCCAAGTTTCAGAAATTAAAATTATGTCTATTGAGGAATTTTGAAAGATTGTACGAAATTTGTCCATGTGACAAAAAAGAGATTTTGCATTTACATGAGCTGCCTTTAAGAAGTTGGGGAATGGAGACAGAGTTTGGCAGAGACGCTGAGATAACGGAGGACATAGAGAAGGACCAAGGTCGGGGCAGGTATCAATTACTGAACTGATAAGCATTGATGAGCAGGCTAGAGGCGGCACATGACAATGGCAGAAGGGAAGCAGCCGACACACTCGTACAACATTTGCACACACGCACACAATATGCCTAGACAATAGCATCTTAAAAGTTTCCTAGTAAAATAAAAAAAATAACATTCTTGTACAGAAAAAAACATCACCACTAATAAATAACAAAAATTTAAAATCCCTTTAAATCAACTAAATATACTCAAGTATTGTGTGTCTCTGAACGTGATAACTTGAGTAATTTTTGTTTGATTTTGATGAAATTTGGTTTGAAGGTGTAATACGGGATAAACTTGAATGAGTTTGTTAACCAGCGTGATCGGATGATGAGAATGGGGTTTTACAGGGTAAAAAATGGTTTTTCTCATTTTTTACCATAAAAACACAAAATTTCAAAATTTTCTCTCTAGACTATTTTAAAGAGTTTAAAAATACAAATAATTCAGTATATTGAAGTGTTTTTGTGTTGTTATTGGTTACGGAGTAAATACAAAAAATTGTAAATTTAAAATTCCCATGTTATTCTTATGGATAATTTTGTAAAATGTTGTAGTTTGCTTGTTTATGGACATATTTTGATCAAACTTGGCAAATTTATTTATTAGCAAATTTCCCCTAGGCTATAAGGAATAAGCTATTACCGTGGTACTCATGGTAAGACCTGGACCCGGGACCGATTTACTTTTTCGTTTTAAGGTCCCTAGAGACCAAAAACACCATCCGTTCAAATTCATATATATATATTTATATATGTGTCCGTTAGCGCAATAACTCGAGCAGAATTCATCTGATTTTGATGAAATTTGGTACAAACGTGTAAACCTACGTTTATTTAAACAAGTTCGCGAACCAGCTTGATCGGACTATGAAAACAGGGGTTTATGGGGGGTTTTATGGGGCAAAAATTGGGTTTTCCCATTTTTGACCCTAAAAACTTAAAATTTAGCATTTTCTTTCCAAACCATTTTGTAAAGCTTAAAAAAAACAAATAATTTAGTGTATTGAAGCGTTATTGTGCGCCTAATGGTTACGGAGAAAATTCAAAAAAACTGTAAATTTAAAATTTCTATGTTATTCTTATGGAGAATAAGTAAACTGTTATACTTTGCTTGTTTATGATCACATTTTGATCAAAATTGGAAAATGCATTCATTTCATACTAAACTATTAACATTTTACAAAAAAAAAAACACCTTTTTACCCTCCCTGTTGCAGCAAACCTAAGTACTCGTTAAACTAATGTTATTTACATAGGGAATAAATGTGATATTTTTAAGGAGACATTTTAGTGTAAATCCAATCAGGCAAATGGAAATTCGCTTGGTCTGCAGGTTTGCTGTGGCGGGTTTTTTTTAAATACTAAACTATTAATACCTATTTTATAAAAAAAACACACTTTATTAGCCTTTCTGTAGCAGCAAACAGGTGCTCATTTAACTAATATTATTTAAGTAGATTTAATTGTCCATATTTCAATTCAGGCAAATGAAAATTTGCTTAGTCTGCAGGTTTGCTGCGGCGGGGGTATTTTACAAATTACTCATAGGTCAGTATGGTTTATAACAATTCATTTTCCTCATAAGTGCTGTGGAGCTCCAGCTGACAATATTAGTTAACAATAAAAATAATAATCCATCTGTTATAACAAAAAAACTGTGTTTTTCCAATTCAAATTATCTGTCCAAAATAAATGTTTATAAACAAAATTAGATATTAATTGTCTATTAATAGTGTTCTAAAGATATATATATATATTAAAAATCATTCGGACAGGTTCAGGATGGCCTATTTAAAGGAAAGGATCAATGCTTTTGTGGGCCAACCTGTTGAGAAAAAGCGCAGTGATCATCGGTTGAAGAAAGCAGACTCATGCGAAGACCATCGAGCATGGGCACTAGATGAAGAGTTTAGGAGGCAACACTTCTTAAATGTAGTGAACAATGTGAGCATTTATACCAATAAATTAAAAAATGTTTGTGTAGTCTCAAATTACACAAATAAGAGGTCATAGGTTAGGTTGATTTAGTCTAGTGGTTTCCTCCTCAAAGGGTAGATGATGATCATTTTGGCAAGTATATCTTCAATTTTTCAGTTGTAAAGCTTATTGTGAAGTATTCAATTTCTTATTATTGCCTAATTTTAATTTTATTTTCCAGGCAGGTGCAGGAGAAGGAATCCAACCTGATGGTAATGAAGACGAGGAAAAATATAATCTTTTAGGCACAAGCCCCCCTGCCACTGAGGTTTAACCAGTATTATTTTTAGTTTATTACCTAAAGATAAAATATATATTTAAGTGCGCTAAGTTGCTATACTTTGCCAAAGTTTGAATTTTTGACACCTTATCATTATAACTTCGGTAGGAAAACTGATTTTTGGACAACTTAAATGAAGTTCATTTAAAAAAAAAGAAATTACTCCAAAACTTGATCTTTTTAAATTTTTTTTTAACTTAAATAGTTATGATATCAGTTAGGCTACATTGGATGAAAACTGACCAGGAATCAACATGAACAATGTATCATTTTAACACCAAATGTAGTAATTTGAATTCCACCTCAATATTCCCTCAGATTTTAAATATTTATTATCCCTTAAATGAGTCAGAACTATCGAACTATATAACACAACTGGAACACCAGGTAGATAGGAGATTTGGGATAAAAATCGCGCCGTTTCAGCAACCTTCCCCCACCACAAAGGGGGACTCGACGCAGATATGTCAGTTCCTCAAGCCGTGCACGAGGTTGTTAATACCCTCCTGGCCGTGCATAATAGGTTGACTACAATTAAAGTTATATATTCGGAATCTGCATTAACTGCAGAATCTGACAGTATAAATATAATCTTAGTTAAATGGTAATTCGAATTTTAACAACTAAAAATGTTAAACAAATATCACACCTTGACATGAAAAAGTTACTAAGCGAGGATTTTTTTAATTTTTTGGTCAGAAGCAAACTTTAAGTGACAAAATTGTAGCTAAAGAGATGATCTTCAGCATATAACCAAGCAATTTCAAATAAAATTTTCTAGTCGTGTGTAATGGAGTAATTAGTAATGCAAAGAGGTTATTTATATATCGCGCCGCGGGCCGTCCTCCCTGGTTCCGCTGATCTTTTTGTTAACGGTACTCCCAGAAACGTTTTGAGTACAATCAATAGTCATACTAAATACATTTTTAATACAGGTAACACATAAGTACATATGTGTTAGAACTGTGAACTGTGTTACAACTAAACTGTGTTACAACTAACCTCCTTTGTTTAGTTGTAACAAGGGATCTTTTAATATCCTGGTTTGTTGGGTAATTAATGAGAAATTTCAAATATTAAGGTTCAGAGCAATTAATTAATAAGGTCATAAATACTAAACCTATAAAGTATTTAATGTAAAGGCAATCATTGAAAAATAAATAAATAAACAACAATTGAATAGTAAATTTAAAAATCAAATTGTTGGGCTCGTTCCTTTGACAATAGGAGTATTTGTATAATATTGCAAAGACACGATTAGTAAAAAAAAATGTTTTTAGTGTTATTGCTATTCTGTATATGTTTTAAAATTCATATCATCACACATAAGAGAAAAGTGGTTGGTTAATAATACTAAACTGAACTTCTAAGAATATTATGTCCACAATCGTGCTTAAATACATTACACGTTGTGAAACAAAACTAATTTCTTAAAAATCTCTGTCTTGCACCTAATTTATTTTTATTACATTCATTCATAATGTTTCTCGTATTGGAGAAACAAACTGTTTTATAAAATAGTGTCCATATCAGTTTCATTAGTTTCAAAGCGTGACTTTCGTCAGAAATGTCATTGCTTGAAACATGGTTTGTACACAAATTTCCTTGAAATTTCGTGTATGCTGATAAAATGCATCTATTATTAAAAATTATTATTATTATAGGGAGGAATTAGTACACAATTGTAAATTGTATTACATTGAGTATTTCATTCAATGGAGCGGAAAAGTCGGTTTCATAGGGTTTCTTCAACTCAGCTGCAGCCCATATATTACCGGTATTAATATTTATCTTCTGCAAATAAATAAAATATATTATCACATCCATAGAATAGTTAAATTCTTTAACTTTTATCAAATATTAATAAGGTTACAATTTATTTAGCTTTACAATGATCGAGTAGCAAAAACATAAAGAGTTGCTGGAGTGAGGAGGTTGGTGCGACATAAAGTCAACCTCGTCGCGCTATTAATCACTCTACTAAAAACAAACTGCACACTTAATTGTAAATTGCTCGATCACATGTTAAAAATCAACTCTTAAACTACAACTTTGTCGCTTAAAGTTTTCTTCTGGCCCAAAAATAAAATACTTCCTCGCATACTAACTTTTTCATGTCACAATGAAGAAATTTTTGACTCTTTTTAACTATGGAAATTCTATTTCAAATCAAAAGTAAAAATTATTTATACCATTACATCCTGCATTTGATGCACATTACAAATATATAAACATTATTGTACTTAATCTTTGTTATTGAAGGCTAGGAGCGAGTTAACAACTTCGCGCACTATTCGATGAATTGGCTAAAATCCGCTGGGTCCCCCATGGTGATGGGGGAAGGCTGCCACAACGGCGCGCTTTCGTGAACACGTACCTAGCATTCCAGTTGTTTTATATACTTCGATGGTCAGAACCCTAGCCTATAGATACATTTTAGCAAGTTATCTATTCCAAAAGGCAACCGTCCAGCATTCAAGTGGGCCTTCTTTGGACTAACTATAAAATAGGATGATAGCTGTAAGCTGAGCTTATTTATGACAAAAACTTTGTGGCAAGCTAGAGATTGTCACTGAAGATAATTTACAACCCAAGTTTTAGCTAAAACCACACAATCATAAGACTGGAAAATCTCATAGCATTTGTTCTGGGGTGTCTAAATTTATGAAGTTATCCTACGTAGTAGTTGAATCTAGGTAGGTAAAATGCTTAACACAAACAACCTTCATATTTGTGTTCAAATTATAAAAATAATAACATCATAGTTTTGTTTTAGCTCGAAAAACAAATCGAAAAGCTTCAAGAAGAAAATGAAATACTGAAAAATATTGTAGCTGATAAAGAAAATGAAATTGATAATCTGCTAACACGAATCCACACAATGTCTGATGTAAGTATCCGGTTCACAATACCTATGTAAAATATCTTCAGCAGTTGAAATTTTTTACGCTGATATATTTGGTGCAAACTAATTGATGAAGAAACATGTCATAACATATCAGGTCCTTTCATATCAATTTAATTGGATCAGCTGATTATATTTATTTCACTCAAGCAATGAAGTAGGTTTTACTGTATTCAATTTTTTTTCTACAGTTGCAAGACAAACTGGACTTACTTGCACTGATTATAGGATGAAAAGTAGTTGATTCCTGTATTTACTTACTTTGCTGCACTCATTTTACTTTTTCACACTCCAGTATTTAAACTAAACAACACAAAATAGTGTGCTTTTATTAGGCAAGTAATAGGTACCGTAGGCAGGTATGCTTGAAAACAAGATGGCAACAGTGCAAAATCAATTAGCTGGTGCAGTGTTTATTGTCTTTCCTTTTGACTATTGATACAAGACTGAACTTAACCTATAAACCTATTGTTGTGTGTTAGCATAAACATTACAAACTACCAATTATATTCAGATGAGACAATTTCATTTAGGTTTGAATTTGTTAATTTGTGAAACTTCATTGTAAAAGTTAACCTGCATAACAAAATGTTTAAGACACTGGTTATTAAAAATTGGTTAAAAAAATGAAGAGGCGGGGTTATTATTGGTATGGTTTTTTTTATTAAATGATGGCGAATAAGTATTTATAGATTTTGAGTTTAAACGTTTAAAAACAATGTTATAGCTACCTGAATTGATATGTATTCCTGAATTGTTTCTTTATCATATGTTCGTCTGCTTGATAATAATATGGTGTTTTTCTAATTAGCCAAAAGAGCAGATCAGTGATCTGGAAAGAGACAAGAACTTATTGAAGAATATAATTGCAGACAAAGAAAACGAAATAGAACGGTTACTTTTCCGCATTCATGCCATGCCTGAGGTAAGTTGTATTGGAAAAAGATTCTGACTAAAGAATGGATTAAGACAAGACAAATGTAGAACCAGTTTATGATAGTAGTGCTAGTTTAAAATAGTATTATTAATATACAACTGAACTGTTGAACTATTTGTAATAATTTAAACTTTTCCAAAAACTGTAAACTATTTTTGTAGAGTAATGAAAAGTTGAAAACTAAACGGTTATTATGGTTTTAACTAAAAGAATAAAACTATTTAACTTAAGAAAAATAGGGTCATTTAAACATTTGTTCCATGTTTGATTCTTAATCAAGTATCTTCAATTCCAGGTTCAAGAAGTAAAAGACAATAATAATCAGAATATTATCGCCGACAAAGAAAATGAAATAGAGAATTTGCTGACTCGCATCAATTTTATGGCAGAGGTCAGTTTTTAACTCATTACATACAAAAAAACATTTTTTCTTTTGTCCTTCAAAGAAACAATTTTACTCTGAAAAATTAACTTTGTAGTAAAATAAATTGTAGTATTTATTATTATTTTATCAACTATAAAATGAGATGGGGACGCCACCTAAGTGCGTATTTTAACCCCAATATGATTGAAAGATAAGTGTAGAATGGAGTGAAAATGATCTGTGTATAGCTTTGTTACTGACTAAGATCAGCTGTTTCATTTGTCAGGATAATTTTTAATCCCCAATGATTATAAACAGCTTGGTCCAGGTTTTAACCATCAAAAAGCTACAGACTTTTCTCAAGATCGATCCGGCAATTTTTTGATTGCTAGGCGAGCACTATAACCACTCAGCTATCCAGGCAGTTTATTGAATGTAAACATGATTTGTTTGTACAATGTGTGATGCCTTTCACATCTCAAATCAGATTTTCAATGTAGGCTAATCAATTAAACTCTTGAATTTGAATCAATAAACTGTAAATATTTTCAGCTTGGCCTTGAGTTTAACGATAATAGAGCAGTACCTTATAAAGTGTTATTTAACTGCTAATTTTTCTCTCATCTGAATCCATTCCTTAACTTTTTTGCCTCCATAGGAGTCAAGTAACTTGATTCGCAGAGAAATAACCAATTGGTGCAACCTTGGGATAGGGATAAGCTCCTCTTCTGAGGAAATTAATATCCTCAATTTTCTACAAAATAAAAGACATCAGCTACTCGGTGGAGATTTTCATAGATCAATGATTATTTGCAAATCTGAAAATGTAATCAGAACTCTAACACAACTATACAAATAAATTGTTACAATTATATTAATTCATTATATAGTCGATATTAGCTTCCTAATTAAACTATTTTCAAATATATATTTCCTATTGACATATTTCTGTCATTTGATCATGAAAATAGTTTGCTAGTCTAAATGATGTTCTATATCTGTTATATTGTTAGACTATTTTCTTTCTTATTATGTTTGCATTCAACTTAAGGCACAGGAGGAGCCGAAGGTCTTGCAAACCCAGCTGGATGATTTGTTGGAGCAGCTCAACAAAAAGGACAAAGAATTGAAGAAAACAAAAGAAATGTTAAAAAATACTGAAAACATGCTAAGAGATTTACAAAATATTATTCAAAGTGTTAATGATGATCCTGAAAAGCAAAACAATGAACTAGATGATGTGATGAAAAATCTTTACTCAGAAATGCAAGACGAGAATAATAAATTACAAAATCGGGTTTTAGAGCTTGAAAACGCCTTACAAAATGCTAATTTAGAAAATGATAACTGTAAAAAATACTTAGAAGCAGCTCAAAATGAAATAAAAGCTTTGGCTAGTGGAGATAAAAAAGAGTACAACAAAATTATTAATGATTTAAGATTTGACCTAGCGCAGAAAGAGGATGAAATAAAAAATCTGAAAGACCTTATAAATATGCAAGAAAAGCAAGCCCAAGAAGAAGTTTCTGTCTCTCCAAGTAAAGTGTCAGAAATCAACAAACTAAAGAATTTGCTTGAAAATCACGACAAGGAAGTGGCTGTCTTACAAAAAGACTTGGCAGAAGAAAAGAAGAAAAGCAATTTACTACAGGACCAATTAAACCAGTTAATTGATGGAAATAGTAGTGACTTAGCAAACCTAATAAAAGAGTTGAACAACGAGAGAGAACTCAACAGTAAGCTACAGATAGATTTAGAACAAGAACAAAACAAAGCTAATGCATTACTCAATGAACTTGAAAAAGCCAAAAATGATCTCAAGGAATATCAAATGAAACTACCGGTTCTTAATGATGATCTTGATTCTGATAAGTTATCAAACTTACCTCTTTGTAGTGAGTGGGAATCCAAAGTAAGAGAATTGGAAATCATGCTGAATAATGAGAGGCAACTTAATGATAAACTTACAAAAGATTTGCAGAATGAAAAAAGTAAATTGCTGAACGCAGCCCCAACAGATGGCAATGAACAGAAGTCGAGTTTAGCTGTTACTGATAAAGAAAGTAATTTGCAAGATAAACCTGGCGATGATTTGACAACAATATTAGAAGATAAGGTCAAAGAAAATGCCGCACTTAAGGAGGAAAGTGAAAAATTAAAGGAAGCTAAAGATAATGACAATAAGTTAATAAAACTTCTCTATGACGAAATAGAAAAGCTGAAAAAAGATAATAATGACCTTAAGGTTTTAATTGAGGATTTTGAAAAACAACCCCTTCCTAAACAGGATGTGGCTGCTGAGTTCCAAGAACTAATTCAGCAATTGGATGATTTGAAAAAAGAAAACAAGTCTCTTAAAAGTAAAATAATGGCTGTAGGAGTTGGACAAGAAGAAAACAATTTAGGGCAAGATGAACCTAAGAGTCTAAATGATGAAACTATCAATGGTTTAAGAAACAAACTTAATGATTTGTTGGCAGAAAATGATGCTCTTAAAGGCAAAATAAAATCTTTAGAGGATCAGACCTTACCAATTTTAGAATCAAAAACATCAAAAGATGAGATTATAGCGAATTTACAAAACAAGCTAATGGCTTTAGAAGATGGAAATAGGAAACATCCTAGAGAAGAAAATACAAGTTTAGAAGAAGAAATTAATAAGTTAAAACTTAATGCTGATATTGAGAAAAAAAAATGTGAAGAACAAGTCTTAAACAAAGACAAAATCATCGAAAACTTGGAAAAAGATTTGAAAAAATTACAGGAAGACAAAAATATATCACCGTCTGAGAAAACTGCCATCATACCTTTTTCAACTATTGATGAAGGAGGAACCAATGAGAAAGAAGCTCAAATCAAAGAACTTAAAGATGAAATAGACATGCTCAAAAAGAACTTAAATCAAATCAAAGAAGAAAATAATAAACTATCAAAAGACAATAATGAGCTAAAAGATAAAATTGCAAAGTTAACTGATAAGGAAGATACAGATTTACTTCCCTCCCCAAGCCCATCTGTAGATAACAAACAATACGAAAAAGAAAATTACAATCTCAAAAAAGAAATACAGAACTTAAGAGACCAAATTGAAAAGCTAGAGAAAGAAGTTAAAGACAATGAAACACTCTGTCAAGAGACAATGAAATTTATTGAGGATAACTCTAAATTACTAACTCAGGAAAACTTAGATCTAAAAAATTCAAATATGAAACTGGAAGATAAAATACAAGTTCTGGAAAATCAAGCCAAAAATTTACTATCAGGAAATGATAAATCTGTCTTTGAAGAACTTTCTCAAGAAAACAAAGATGTTCGGGATGAAAATGAAAATCTTAAAAATAAAATCAAGTATTTAGAGGATGAGCTGAAGGATTTCAAAGATGAAGTAAAACAACCAGAACTCGACAAACTGGTTTCAGAAAACACTAATCTTCAGAATGAAATAAAAAAGTTAAATAATGAAATCAAATCTCTTGGTGGTGAAATAATTAACTTAAAATCAAAGGAAGAAAAGCATGGTCCTTTGGAACCTGATAGTTTAAATACCCTACAAGATGAAAATAATAAGTTGAAAGGTACGATTGAAACCCTTGAAGACAAAATGAAGGATTTGAAAATTAAAGAAGATGAACTAAGTAAGCTTGCTGCAGAAAATGCTGGGTTACAGGACGAAAATTTGAATTTAAAAGGAAAAATCAAATCACTTGAAGACAGTATTGACAGTTTGTTAGCAGGGAAAGAAGAAGATTGGAAAATAAATCTTACTGAAGAAAAAAACAATCTTCAAAATGAAAATGAAGGGCTTAACAAAAAAATAAAAACCCTACAGGATGAAATAAGAGATTTAAAGGCAAAAGAAAACCAACCTGGGCCTGATCAATCTGAAGATATTATTAAATGTAAGAATGAGGTCATGGATTTGAATAGTCAAATCAATTATCTTGAAAACGAACTAAAAATGTTGAAGGCAGATCGAGAAATACCTGATGCTCAGGAACTTAGCAAGCAAAATGCAGACCTCAAAGAAGAAATTGCTCAATTAAAAGGTAAAGTCACATCACTTGAAAATCAAGTGAAGGATTATCCACAGGGACAAAATGAAATTTTGACTGAAAATCTTTCTAAAGAAAATGCTGATTTGAAGGGTGAAAACAAAGAGTTGAAAGATAAAATTATATCCCTTGAGGATGAAGTCAAGGATTTGTTATCAGGAAACAATAAGCTTGAGAACATACTGAAGGACAATAAATCATTACAAGATCAGAATAAAAATCTTGAAAATGAAATAGCAAAACTGAACAACCAAATTGCATCTTTAGAGAATCAAGCCAAGGACAAATCGCTAGATAAACATGAAGAAGAACTTTCCAAGGAGAACAAAGCTCTAAAAGACGAAATAAAGTCATTAAAAGATAAAATAGAAGATTTAAAAACCGAAGCTCAAAAACCTATTTCCGATAATCTTATTAATGAAAATGCTGATTTGAAGGACAAAAACAAAATTTTAATGGGTGAAATTAAATCACTAGAAGATAAATTAAAAGATTTGTTGTCAGGAAAAGATGAAAGTATATTTGAGAATCTATCAAAGGAGAATACGGAATTACAAGATGAGAATAAAAAACTTAATGCCAAAATCAAATCCTTAGCAGACGAAGTAAGAGATTTTAAAGCTCAAGAAAAGAAAAATGAAATATTAGTCGATGAAAACGCTAGCCTTCAAGATGAAAATAAAATGTTAAGAGAACAAATAAGTTCTTTGGAGGGTAAAATACAAGCTTCAACATCTAAGGAGAGAGTACCTGTACCAGAGAAATTTAAAGACATTTCTGAACTTCAGATTGAAAACAATAATTTAAAAGACGCTTTAAATACTCTTAAGGGCCAAATGAACAGTTCCCTTCCAGAAAAAGATAATGCTTTGTATGAAGATCTCACTAAGGAAAATACTGCTTTACTGAGTGAAAATACTAAATTAAAAGCTTCTATTGATTTACAAAGAGATCAAATTAAATCTCTTGAAGATGAATTAAAAAATCAGAAACCTGTGATCAGTAAACTCGAAAAAGAAAATAATGAGCTACGTAAAGAAAATGACCAATTAAATGATAAAACAAAAGCTCTTGAAGATAAACTGAAGAGTTTGCCGTCAAAATCTGATGAACTCACATCTGAAGCACTTTTGCAAGAAAATGAAGTCCTGAAGAAAGAAAACAAGAAACTGAAAGAAGATATCCAGAATTCAAATGACAAAATTAAGTCTTTAGAAAATAAAGTCACAGAATTAGAAATTGGAGGAAGAAATCTGGAAACAAAAAATTCTGAGCTATTGGACGAAAACAAGAAACTATATGAAAAAATTAAATCTTTAGAAAACCAAATCAAGGAATTACTATCAGGGCAGGATAAAACCATGTTTGAAGCACTTTTAAAGGAAAATGCTGAGCTTCAGAATGAAAACAAGAAACTAAAAGATGACATTAAATCCTTTTTGGATAAAATAAAATCCCTAGAAGAAGAATCAAAGAGTCCCAAGATAGAAATTCAGAACTCCAATCTTGACAAACTGGTAAAAGAAAATAATGATCTTCAAACTGAAAACAAGAAACTAAATGATAAAGTAAAATCTCTTGAAAGTGAAATAAAGAGTTTATTATCAGGCCCGGATAAAGCTATATTTGACTCGATATCCAAGGAGAAAAATGAATTACAGAAGGAAAACAATGAACTTAAAGATCAGATTAAAAGTCTAATCGACAAAATAAAAAACATGGAATCAGATCAATCAAATGATATAAGACAATTAAAATCTGAGTGTAAAAAGCTTTCCAAAGAAAATGAAGAATTGAAAAATAAAATTAAAGAATTGGAAAAGAAAATATCAGAATGTGAAACACAGAGCACTGATGGGGAAAATAGTGAAGCTATAAAGAGCAAGTTGAAGTCTATAGAAAAGGAAAAAGAATCTTTGAATAGCAAAGTAAATGATCTCAAAAAAGCATTGGCTAGTGAAAAAAGTGAGAGAAAATATTGTGAAGATGAAAATAATAGACTTTTAGATATGTTGAAAAATTCCAACAACAATAGCTCAGAAAATGAAATACTAAAATTTCATAGGATAAATAATGACAAATTGAAAAAAGAAAATGAAAAGCTGAAAGAAAAAATTCAGGACTTGGAAGATAAGTTTATAGAAAAATCCAAAGCACCAAAAAAAACTAAACAATCCAAACAAAAGCAGAAAACTGAGCCGTCAGATTCCGATAGGAAATTAAGAGAAACTGAGAAAGATGTTGATGAAAAAGAAGTTCTTGACTTGAGAAAGAAATTGAAAGAAGCAAATGAGAGAAACGGTGAACTAAATGAGCTTAGAAATAAGCTAGTTGAGTCTGAAAAACTTATCGATGCTCTGAACAAGCAGATTTCAAGACTAAACAAGGAAAATCAAGAGCTGAGCAAACTGAGACCATCCCTTGAAGGTAAAAATGTAACAGTAATTTTTATTTTGTTTGTATTGTAAAAATATTAAAACAAAAATGTTAATGTTAATGTTAATGTTTTTATAAAGAAAAGGGAAGCAAAATAATTAAGATTGTCTTTAGTTCTGAAAAGTAGTCAATGGATTAATTACTAGTTTCTTATCATATGAAACATTATGAAACCCGACTTAAATTCATGACTATCTATTTCTTGGAGTTATTTTTTTTGTTGTTTGAATGTTTTTATGTACTAAAAATAGGCAGAGGCCGCAAAGGCAAAATTGTTTGACATCTTACTACTTACTAACAAATTATTTTTAGAGGTCCCTTTATAGTTTATTTGACCTCTTTTACGCACATGGCGTTACGATTTATCTAATTTCCACACATTTACTATGTATTTGGGTGCATGTCAAAGCTTGGTGAGTTTAAAATTTTTCATTATAAGGTGGAGCCCTCCCTTTAAACGCCTTAAAGTGTTTTCCCTACAGTACCCCACTGTAGTTAATTACGTAGTTATTATTATTTTATGGTTACTCATCTAGGGAAAGTATTGTCCCAGGTTCACAAAATGTAACTAATACAACTAAACCTAAAACATATTCATACATTAATTACAGAGAACAAAAAGTATGAGGTATACCAAAGATATCTTGATGAAGATACAAAGAAGTTGAACCGGATTTTACAAAAAGCAATTCAGTTGGGATTAAAGGTAAGGAATACTTGGTAAGTACACTCATGTATTGGTGAGCCCTAAATACAAATTGAGTGAATTTTCAATGTTTTGTGAGTATTTAATAATAAAATTGTTTATTTTGTTTGAATCTATAACTAAGCCAGCAGCGCTGGAGAAACTGGATAATGAAAGTATCATAATCAAAGTTTGTAAGACAAGTTCATACAGTAACACATACTAGTATACCTGTTGCTCGAATTCGAGCAATTGCGAAGTATTACAGATGTTATTTTAAAACGAATAGCAGTAATAATTTCTGATGACTTTAAACGAGTCGACTGAAAGATTATGGAAATACTTAGGATGTACATAACAGATTGATATAATCAACATTTCTTGTAAATATCTTCATTTTTCAAAAGCTGATCTTTGTTTTTTTTTACGTGTTTTCTACAAATATTTCCCACTCATAGCCGCATTAGGCTGTCCATAATAACGATTATAAATTATAAATTAAAAAAAACATTGTTTCTATTTTTTCTACATGGTGGTGGTGTTCTATGACTTTCCTATGTTTCCATAGTTTGCAAATCGGCTCTTTCAATGATTGCTCAAGAAATGCAGCACAGTGTTAATTCAGTTTATTTTTAGTATATCAAAATGTCCAGGCTTTCTCGTTTCTTTTCATTTTAATATTTACGCCAACCCAAATTCAAATAGTAAATAAATATCTCATTTCAACGAAGTCAGTAAATGTTTGTAGCACATGTTTCCATTGCAACTAAGACATTAACAGCAATTAAATTATCTAGCTGATCATAATCTAAACAAATATATTCTTCATAAGGATAACATGGGAACGTTAAAAGCCACTGGGACAGAGCCCAAGGTTTTTGACAAATTTAAGGCCAGTTTGCAAATCTACACACCAAAGACGAACATTTTGGTATAAAATATGTGAGGTTAAATCTTAAAACAAAAAAGCAAAAAAAAAAACAAAAATATATGAGTCAACATGTTTTATGTTAATTTTATATTGTAAGTTAAATGCCATTGTTTATTATGTTATTTTGATGTAACCAATACATGTAAATATGTCTATATTTTGTTCAATAAACGAATTATTGAGTTATAGGGTCGAGTTTGCTTAAATATTTATTATGGACTTTTTCTTGTCACTTGTAAACCTAAATACCTGTTATGTTTGGAATTTACCAATAATTTTAAATTATGAGAAAAAAACTAATTGGTTTGATTATATAGCAAGCTAAATCTCGAAATAATTAAAAACTTGCCGGGTTACAAACCTAATTACAGCCTAAGCCTTTTAGTCAAGATAGTTTATTCTTGGTTCCCACCACTGATAAAATTATTTGAATTTTAGTCTTTGTATCTTGAAGAGCTGGAATATGTCCATGACGCTTTGAATAAATCAATGTCTGAGCGGAAAAACAAACCTTCTAGTCCGTGCAAAAAATCACCTGAAGAGATGGCCAGCAAAAGTATGTTTTCTGAGAGGTCTACCTTACATTTACAGTGTATTTTTAGAATATTTTTATCAACAGGTTTTGAGCAATTACTTACAAATTCATGGATGTATTACATAATATGTTTAACACAAAAGGTTTACCTTCATTTTTACTATAGCATTGAGTGTTTAGTTATGAGGGTTAATGTAAAGAACATTTTAGCATAAAGACCTAAGATATCAATACCAAACTTTATTTACAAAACCACAGCACTTCATTCTACATTTCTATGTAATTCCCATTGTTGTTGATACACTTTTTGTAACGTAGGACCAGTTTCTCTATTCCGATGTTATACACATCAGCCTGGAAAGATTTGTCACCGCATCTTTAAGTTGATCGTCATTTCCAAACCGTTTTCCACCCAAAATTCTTTCAACTTTAGAACAGATGAAAATCACTACACTGTCAGGGAAAAAATTTAGACACTCGAGTTTGGAGCTCTACAGAAAAGTAATCAACTACTTAGAAAAAGACAGAGTATATCTAAATTTCCGTTGTTTTATTCTACGTATCCCTGTGAAAACAACATTTTTTTAGCTAGTTTAGAATTTTTTTTATGACAGACAGAATGTAAAAAACAAAAACCCCCTTTTTTAGAGTATCAAAAACCATCTTATGACTTTGAAAATTCGCACAATACAAACTGAACGTCAGAACCTCATCAAACTTTAATACAATATAGATATATATAAAGACTATGGTTTCAGAACTTTTACTTCATGCAAAAAGTTTTTGCTGTTAATTTTCTAAGTTAACTTTTTCTCAAAAACGGCAAACGCTAGAAAAAAGTTGAAAAAGCTTGTTTTGAAGGTGATAGTTTTGGTATTTGGAATATTCATAAGGTTCCACCACATTGTTACGCATATTATTTATATCAATTAACATTCAATTTGGATGATGTAGCGGCCGATTAGGTCACTTCCAGACTACCACCGCCTCTGACCGGGCGCTTACCCCGTACGTTGCTTTATTGAACACCTGGACACTGGGCAGGGGATGGGCTGTTAACTGAATATTTACTATGATCTTCCCAAACACTCGTGCACTTCTTGATGTACTGGATATCACTTCTCCCTCACTTCTAAAAAAACATATAGCACTCACTGACTATCATAGCATATTCCGAAACTGACAATTTACATTTGGCACCTATTTCTAGCGATGTGATCACAACTAGAATCGGGGACAAACTGAGGTGAATTAATGGTATTTTTGGGGTGGTAATACTTTGGATCCTTTTAAAGAATGCAAAACATGATGTGTCCTGTGAGTTAGCCGTCAGTGACATATACTGTGTGAATCACCTTACGCTCGGGGTCCATTGTGGCGACGCTGCACTGGATTCCTGAGCAGGCGATGGCTTCTGCACCCTTTGCAGGTGCAAGATCATACAGTTACATGTTAATTATTTATATAAATAATATGCGTAACAATATGGACTATACATTAATATATATATGCAGTATAAATACATTAAATACAAACACAATCACCTTCAAATCAAGCTTTGAAATTTTTTTCTAGTGTTTGCCGTTTTTGAGAATTAGTTAAATTACAAAATTAACAACAAAAACTTTCTGGGTGAAGTAAAAAATTGTATTGAAGTTGGATTAAGTTCTGACGTTCCCAGTTTATATTGAGCGAGTTTTAAATTCATAACATGGTTTTTTGATACTCTAATACGAGGCATGTTTTTTAAGTAAGTACCGTTTTTAAATTTCTCCGTTGAAGTGCTGCGATTGGCATTTTGGGCACTTTCACTATATATGTGCATCTGTTGGCAAGCCCTAGCCGGAAATTCGACAACATTCGGCCGTGTTTACATCCGGTATCGAACATTCAAAATGGTGCCGCCAATTGAGACTGCCGCCGACTGTGAAGTGCGCGCTGTAATTAGAGTTTTAAATGCTAAAGGTATAAAAGCCATTGAAATTTATCAACAGCTTAGTGAGGTGTATGGCGAGAACATTTATGAGTGATGGAATGGTACGCAGGTGGGTAAGGGCCAGCGAACACAGAAGGGCATCTAAAGACGGCCCCACCAACGTTCATCATGAGCAACGCACTGGGCAGCGTCACTGTCCCCAGTACCCAGTGCGTTTACTCATGATGAACGTTGGTGGGGCCGTCTTTAGATGCCCTTACCCACTCGTGTACCATTCCATCACTCATAAATGTTCTCGCCATACACCTCACTAATCTGTTGACATATTTCAGTGGCTTTCACACCTTTAGAACATAAAAATCTAATTACAGCGCGCACTTCACAGTCGGCGGCAGTCTCAATTGGCGGTACCATTTTGAATGCTCGATACCGGATGTAAACACGGCCGATTTTTGTCAAATTTCCGGCTAGGGCTTGCCAATAGATGCACATATACAGCGCAAATGTCCAAAATGCCAATCGCAGCGCTGGAACAGAGAAGTTTAAAAACGGTACTTACTTAAAAAACATGCCTCGTAACAGGGGTTTTTTTACCTTCCGGCTGTCATAAAAAATTTCTAAACGAGCAAAATTTTTTTTGTTTTCACAGGAATACTTAGAATTAATCATCAGAAATTTACATATACTCTGTGTTTTTCTAAATAGTTTTGTTACTGTAGAGCTCCAAACTCGAGTGTCTAAACCGTTTTCCCCGACAGTTGGTGCTAGGTCAGGGCTGCAGGGAGGATGACTAAAGATTTCCCACTTCAGACTTTGGAGTTCTTGCCGTGTTCATGCTGAGGCATAAGGCCAGGCATTGTTGTGAATTAAAAAAAACTTAAGCTGACACCATTCCACGCCTCTCTTAATTGTTTTGAATGGCGTGATGAAGTCGTTTTAAGTACCGTGAAGAGAAGGAAGGGTCAAACGGCCGCGCACATAATCACAGTAGTGGAGGATCTGTGCTGCGTGGGATGCACATTCGTGCTTTACAATATGGATGACCCTCATATATTACTAATATTTCTTAAACAATGGCTGTTCATGGGGTTTTATAAATAACACAAACAACAGACATACCCGCTGCTCAAAGTCTAGTTTAAACATACTTAAAAAATTCTTTGAAAAACATTCTCTATTTCATCCTGCATAGCATGCCTTCAATTGTCTCCAATTGTCTAAACTAAACTATCTTTTTAACTTGATAAGAAGATTAGCTGCTACAAATCAAAAGTTCACTATTAGTTGCATTACTATTGTCATGAAGCTTTATGTAAAATTTTTTTCTAAATATTTTACTTTAAGTACAGACAAATCAAGGCCCAAGTGTTTTATAAATATTATAAAATTTTAATATCATTTACGTATCAACACTATACACAGGTTGAGACCAAGTCTCCTTCAACACCTAGAGTTACCGGTTCCAATGGCAATGTGATACAAGATTATAAAAGATTATGATCTGAGAAATACTAAAAAGAACTCTAGCTTGCCTGTTCTGCAAATATCAACTGTGTTTTTCAAGTATCAACCACCAACGGATTTGTCATAATAGTTTATGTATATTAGCTATTATCTTTTTATTTGTCTGTCCATGATGTTTTTGTAGTCTATTACCCAAAGTGCATTTTGCCAGTATGTGTGGCATCTTTGGGGGTAATCTATTATCTCCTTACATCATTCTGACTGCTACAGAGACTTAACCTGCTGTAAATATTATAGACATTGGTGTTAGTGATGTAATAACAATAGAAGATCCCCTTAATATGTCAAACAAGCTGGAGAAATGTACATAGTGTGATAGACTACAACTTCTAGAACACAGAAATATTATTAACTAATTTAAGTTGTTAAATCTGTGGAAACCTAATAAAAGAAATATTATGTTCAGTCGAAGTGCTAGAGCAGCAGATTCTTTCTCTGATGACGAGACTGGAGAGATATCGACAGCACAGTAGTGACCAGGAGAGAAGGTTGATAGATTATTCACAGAAGGTTCAGAGGCTCACCACATCCATAGGGCTGCTGGAGATGAAAAACGACAGTGTGATGAATGAGGCAAAACATCTCAGGTGAACATGCAGTTTTTTCTCTTTCCATAGTGTCAAAATATAAAAAAATTTTAATCTAAAAACAAAACTTAAAAAAAAAATTTGATAAGTTCACTCAGATTTCAAGTGTTATCCCTTCCGCTTTGCCGTGTAATGATACTCAAACTTGTTATTTTACAAGCAGAAGTCAATGTTATTGAATCCCAAAAATGTTACTGAATAGATGTGATTTATGTCTAACCAATTAATACATTAGTTCATCCCTGTGTATTTTGGACAAGACATGCATGTTGGCCAGTTTGATGTCTTTGAGGAATCGGCAGATACTTGCTTTTCTAACCACCAGGAACTAATTTTTTTCTTAATCATCGACACTGAACAGATTAAATTAAAAAATTGTATGCAGAGATTGTGTTTTATTTATAAAAATAAGTCATACAAAGTCCCTAAATACCTGATTCTCAATGACATAAAGAAATTATTTCCACAAAAGTTTACCGTAATAAAATGTTATTTTCCATATTGATTCAGTATGCTTTGTTTTGACTGTTTGTTTTTAAAACTGAATTGACTCTTTTTCAGGGAATTATTGATTTATGAGAAGGAGAAAGCAAGAAAGTTAGAAGAAATGCTTAAGAGTGTTTTGGACCACTGTAAATGTACAAGAAAGTGGATGTTACAGCAAAACTATCCGGGATTACTTAAAAAATGAGGTATAGTTTACTAAACTATCTGTGAATGTATTCATGCAATCCAAAACTTTGCTGTATGGCAAATGACTGTCCCAGTAGTCATCTTCAGTCTTCTTCAGTACCTACTTGATGTCAATTGGTCTCAAAAGGTGTCAATGAGGAATGTTGTTCTTGACCAAGAGATATACATGAATCATCTTGACAAGCTTATGAGTGGCTTAGCCAGTGGGAGGGCCCACCATACATAAATAGTGTCCTGCTTGGGTGGAAGCTTATGAGTGGCTTAGCCAGTGGGAGGGCCCACCATACATAAATAGTGTCCTGCTTGGGTGGAAGCTTATGAGTGGCTTAGCCAGTGGGAGGGCCCACCATACATAAATAGTGTCCTGCTTGGGTTGAAGCTTATGAATGGCTTAGCCAGTGGGAGGGCCCACCATACACAAATAGTGTCCTGCTTGGGTTGAAGCTTATGAGTGGCTTAGCCAGTGGGAGGGCCCACCATGCACAAATAGTGTCCTGCTTGGGTGGAAGCTTTTGAGTGGCTTAGCCATTGGGAGGGCCCACCATACTTACCATACCTGCTTCTTTTCACACTAGTAAAGAGGAGGCGAACACACAGATTTATTGCATTCTATTTTGGTTAAGTATGTACAGTATTGAATCGTGTTGAAAGACCGTAAAATACATCAAACAACATAACCTAAACAAGGACATTGATCAAGAAATCGAAACATTCGTCCTACATCAAATGGTTCAGAGTCATCTTCATCACCAAAAACTTGCATGAACTGTTTCCATTAATAAATGATAAAACTCTGTATTTTTTCTGTCCACTGACTTGCACTAAAGACTCTTCTTACAATAAGGTAAAAGAAACTTAGAACCTTGTTTAAACATCACACTGTAATATTTATCTAAAGTAGATCATGTGCGTCCATCTAACCTTTTTACAAGGGGGGCGGGGCTGGGGGTACCAAATAACCACTGGGAAGAGGGGGCCAGGAACGTTTAGAATTTAGGTAAAAAAAAAATTATTTTAAACATTTTTGTACCTACATTTGGGCTGTCAATTTATTGTTTTATGTATATTTTTTTTAATTTGGCAGCTTACTGCTGTGACCACTGGCACCCCAATTGGTACTTAGAGAACTTGTGCGGTACCCAGCACAATGCCTTCATTCGAGTCTATCTCTAGCCTCTTCCTTTTTCCCCCAATCTCCTTTTCCACTTTGGTACAATCATCTCACCCTTGGTCTTCCACGGGGTGTTCTGCCTCCTGGTGTCCTCTCCAGAACTAACTTTGATAAGGAGTCTTCTTTTCTCATGGCATGTACTGCCGATCTCATCTCACTACTCCATACCTTTTTTTTTGTCTTAGGTGCCTAGCGTCCTAAGACTACTCCATACCTCCACTACAATATCCGTGTCTTGAAATAACTCATTCAGTTACCAGTGATTTAACCTCCATTGTCCATCCTCACACGTTGGTTCATATACTTGTTTTTAGCTTAATTTGTTTATTTTTACTGAAATTAAAATTAAGATCTTCAAGGCTAAGGCCCAAAAGTCAAATTTCCAAGGGAAAGAATTATTATATAGATGTGTAATAATTTTTTATTCAAATTTTATAATGTGTGTGTATTTTGTGTTTTAAAATATTTCTTTTTTTTAGGAGATCATCTGCAGTTGTTTGAAATTCAAATTAAAACCCAAAATCAAATTAATGTCTTACAAAATCTGGCATTGAAAGAAAACTATGTGCGACAGGTTACGGTGGGTTAGCACTTAATAGCAAAAATATATTTTTCCATAAATGTTAACATTGTATGTGATAAACTAATTTGTATTTAAAATAAAAATATATCTTTTCTCTGGTGTTTTTATTGATAATACTATTAGATGAGAAACTTTACCTACTTCAGGATACCTACTTTAGGTCATTGCCCATCACTTACATTACAGATGCTTTATTCCACAACCTCTAGGTCCAAAACTGATCCATACTTTTATTCCTGACAACTCTTTTAAAGAAATATTCTACAATTTGGATTAACAAATTCCAACTGAGCTAGATATACAAGCGGATGTTGTACTGGCACAGAAACTCTGCTAGAAAATTGCATGTACAATCACAATCCCCAATTCTCCTAATTCAAATTGTACTAATGGCCTTTAGTACCCCCTTTAGTTAGCCCTTAGTACAAATGGCGGCCAAGTCTTGCGATTCTCTCATTTAGTGTTGCATCCTGTTGTATCTCTAGCTCAGTGTTACAAAGAGTCTACCGGTACCTATAACCATGGAAAGATGTTTGTAGGGGTGAGACCTGTATATGTACGTGCCTCCAAAATCAAGTCCTTTTCATATTTTCCTCACTCGTTTTAGCGAATTTCCCTATAGGGAAGTATAGCTGTAACAGTAGGTGGAATGGTAAGACCTAGACCCAAGAACTTTTTTATTTTGATGACCCTAGAGGCTAAAAGCACTATTCGTTCAAATTGTTATATATGTATACTAGCGGAATACCCGTGTTTTGCTACGGAAACTTTGAGAATGGTTGAAATTTGTAATAAATTAGTGTTTAAGTTCCAACAGAATTCAGTCAACAATTCAGCTACAACCTGTTTTGCTCCAATCGATGTCATATTAAAGTAGTTATTATAATGTCTCACCCGGTCCATAAAGTGTGTATGCTCAGGGTGGTTGCTCATGACCAGACTGCATAAAGGTTTAGGTAGGTGCTGCAAAAATGCATTGAAAATAGTCATCTTTAAATGTATAGTATAGCATAGCTACAGTCAGGCTAGACATAACGAATAACATGTCTTATATGTTCATTTATGAGGTGTCAGCTCTGTGGATTACCTAACAGTATGGGAATATGTGATTTAACAAAAAAAAAATCTTATAAATAAATATGATAATTTTTTAGGCGAAACATTCGGGCGAATGTTCGGCGATAGTGTACTGGTAGCATTACCAAAAGGGTGCAGCACTATCATTTATGACAACATCGACAACAGCTAATTTGCAACCAAATGGTGAGTGAGCGTATAGCGAACGAACTTCAACCAGGGGCCCTATTTTTGAAATGGTTGACAGTTGAGTCAATCGTCAGCACTCAACTCAACCAACAACATGATTTGGTATTTTTGAAAACCAACAGTTGGGAAGCGAGTTGGGAATCACTAGTTGAGAGACTCGTGGTGGAAATGTAGAGCATACGACCGTCAAAAATTCAGATGACGTCATTTTGAACCAATCACAATGCAGAGTTCTTGCGGACTTCGATTTAACCTCTTCTTACTCTAAAATCTGGCAGCTAATCTCAATCTGCCATATTTCGAGACACTGAGGTAAACTGTCAACTCCGTTCTTGAGAGATTGAGATTGAGGTTATGTCTTGCTTAATCTTAGTGATTGCAAAGTACCTTAACTTAAGTAATAAACTAAAGTAAACTAAATAAAGTAATAAACTTAAGTATAAAAAATAAAATTTACTATGGATGTTTGTATTAGGGTGTAGCTAGGCCTAGTTATAAGTTTAGGCATAGGCTGCACTTTACTTTAGGTCCTACACTCATCCTAAATACATTATTATTTGCTTTCTTCGTCTCTATTTCGGAACACATAACCTTATTTTAGTTTCCTTCATCGGTTTGTTTTATGTTAATTTTAATTGTTTTTTATTTAAGTTAAAGCGGCTATTTGCCATTGCACTGGAAGCATATCGTAACTTAAATTAATTTGATCCCTTTATTAGGTGAATAGTATTGAAACAAACTATGATATTGTTTCTCTCTACCACAATCTTTAATACCTTAAATCATAGGTCTAATAACAATAATTATCTTATAATAAGTTCAATTAGTATGCCTAGTCTATTTCAAACATTCCAACAAGAATAAAACCCTTGATTAAATAGTCTAGTATTGACACAGTAAATAAAATTAAAATGCGATTATTCTACAGGAAACAAACGCATAATTGGGTGCTAATACATTGACAACAAATACATAACCTCTAAATCGCAATTAGTAAATTAAAGCAGTAACAAAACAATATGGCGTCGTCTCAAAAAGAGTAATTTTTTGCCGAAAGAGAGGAAGAAGAAAGTGCAGTCAACCTCCACTCAACAGCTCGATAGGTGTTGAGTAGTTTTGGTTGTATAAGTCCACCGTCAACCGTTTCAAAAATACGAAACGATTGGAAATAGAATGACTCGACACTCAACTCAACAGTCAACCATTTCAAAAATAGGGCCCCAGGACGTGATTGAGCCATGCGAATACTTATGAAGTTAAAGTTAAACGGGGCAAAGCCCGCGGGTACAGCTAGTAGAGAATAAATGTGATATTTTTAAGGAGGCATTTTAGTGTAAATCCAATCAGGCAAATGGAAATTTGCTTAGTCTGCAGGTTTGCTGCGGTGGTGGTATTTTATAAGTGTTTTGATTTTGTCCTATGACGCCAAGTACGATCCCGGGATTGTTTTTCACATTACTACTAGTGGTTGCTTCATGATCACTTAGATAAAATCATTAAAATCCATTGGTGATTTGGCGGGATTTGAACCCGGGACCTCAGGGTCCGAAGTCCCATGCACTAAGGCTCTAACTACTAGACCAGATCGCTCCCCCGTATTTTTTATAGTAGCCTGTTTTTATACTATATTCGACGGTTCTCTGCTTTGTCACCACATTCTTTTACTACTGTATACTTCGCAGAATTTGGTTGGTTTGGACTGACAACCAAAACCAACTTGGTTTGGTTGTCACTTGTCACTCGTCAGTCTGACCTGACGTCTGTTTGTTTCTGGCCTGGCGGTTGGTTGTTATCGTCTCCAAGGGGTTGGGTTTTGCTGTTAAAATACATCTTTAAGATTTAACAATTTGTTTTAATAACTGCTGCAGTTTTTTACTTTATGAATATTATAATAGGCCTAAACGAATAAATCGATTTTATATGGTTTATGAGAAAATCATAGAACCTGGATTGCCATTAGCATGATTCCGTTAGAATACCAGTCTGCATGTAATCCTGTAAACTTTGTTGCTCAGGTAAGGCCAGTTTATTTTATTCGGTGGTTAAGTTAGAGTTTGTTGATTGTAGAATTATTTATTTTACTAAAACAACATTTTCTCAAAATTGCTTAATTTGTACACACGTCTATGTTTTTTGTTTACTTACAAGAAATAGCCTAAATAATTTACCTAAAAACTTCCAACCTTGGATAAAAAGGAATTTTATTTTGAAAATAACACAAAGGCTGCACTTTACTTTAGGTCCACAACATTTTACTCAAAATTGCTTAATTTGTACACACATCTAACTTAACTTATGTTTGAACTAGGCTATTGTAACTTTGGCGTTAGGTTAACGCTATTTATTTTTTTTTTTACATACAAGAAATAGCCTAAATAATTTACCTAAAAACTTCCAACCTTGGATAAAAAAGACTGGCACAAATTTTTTATGTTGTTGAAGCGTTTAAAAGTTAAGCCGGATCAGGTGCACCTGAGGCACCTATAGGCCTGATTTATATGATAGGCTAACTTCTATTTTGTACTGAAACCTACCTACATCCTTAAGCAATAGGGTCTAGGTGTATGGCCCTGCGGAGTGGGATTTTTCAGGGATTTTCTCCCTAATCCTTGTAGGCCCTTGGGGCATTACAATTTTACTTATTTTTTCTTAGGTAATCCTTGAACCTCATTGGTCCGTTACAAGTGCGGTATAGTAAGTCTACAATGCGGTAAAGTGAATAATTTCAATTCCTAACTCTTTTCCCCTCCTTTTTGGGTAAGTTAGTTATGCGCAGGCTACAAGATTTAGCCTACCGGTAGCCTAAGTTTACTCAGTTTAAGTTCGTTTTGTCTGGAAATGTTTTCTACGCAAATAGAATTTTTTACCTTGTGTAAGGTCCAAACCCTGGTCTTGTTAATTGAGCGAAGCGAGCGAAGCTCTTTGGGATCAACTTCAATGCAAACAATATAACACCATCACTCAATAACGGCTGAACACATTTCAGCCAAACTTAACAAGACTACTTAGACTAATAATGAGATGGTTTGTAAACAAACAAATTTCAATTAGATAATGCTAATGCAATTTAAAACGAACTTAAAATTTAAAATTTTTAACATTGGGCTTATGGGACTAAAGTAGCTATGACAGTTTTTTTGTTTACAAGAAAAATGTAAACAAGAGAATCATAAGGTATTTCTGAACTTTCTATACTTTTCTTTTAAACGATTTTAAACCATTCCTATGATTTTAATAAACAAGAAAATGCCGTTAAAACATTTTTTTAAGGCACGGAATTCACTGAAAATCGAGAAAATATACTGAACTACTTTCTCAATGCGCGGAGCATAAACAAGGAGCGGAGGGATACGGACCGGTGACTACTTTCTTGGGAACCTATTTGTGTTGCCAGCTGATTAGAAACAGCCAATGTTAGAAATCAGGATTTAATAAGCGATATATCGAACCGCATCGAAATCGGTATCTAATCCGATAATACCTCATAGGTTATATTATGTTTAATTACATCGACGGTACAGTAAGTTATTACACTTATTGATAAAACGCAGATTGAACACTGATTTAGGCATGTGGGGAGGTAGGTCGGGGTTTATGAGTATTCGTGACTACATTAAGTGTTTTGAAGTAAGGTTAGATTAGAAAGGTATAGTGTAGGTTATAGGTAGGCGATCGGGTTGTTTATTTGTGTTGCACCATATAATTTTTTAACTTTTGGAATGGAATAGTTGGTTAAGGTTAAACGGGGAAACGATTTCAAAAATGCTTGCATATGGTCTTAACTTAACAAACCATCTACAGTATTCTAGCTTTGACTTTATATAAAGTCAATGATTCTAGCAAATTATTACATACTGACAAAAAGAAAAGAGAACATTTGGATTTGTACCTTTGACCATAGCAAAACTAACATATAATTATGGAATGTGAAAAGTTGTATATCATTATATACTATTCTGTAATATTAATAATTGTTCGGCAAATCCTCATTTTAATGGCTCGGCTGAAAATGGAATCTGCATTTTGTGAAACAGTAATTTGGTAACAATTCAGTTATTTCAAATGTTGATAACAGTAGCCCATCCTATACAAATACTGTTATTTGATTGCCAAGCCACGGACTATACATACGTCCAGTTACAACCGTTGATAAGTAAACCTGGGCTTATAGAAGTACACTTTTAACCACGGTATGGATAATTGTCTAGGCCTGTCCAGAAGTAGGCTACTAATTTCTAATTATATTATCTACATTGTATATTTAAGGCATGTCTTCCCTACTTATTATATTATTCTGTTTTCACTTAAATCAGCTGAATGCGATTTTACTTATTACTTATGTTTAGGCCTACATTCCAGCCATTTTATGTTGCACGGTTGAATTTAAATGTCAAATTTCCCCTCCTGTTGTTATACTTTAATACTCGTTTTTTTATAGTTACTGTTTTTTTTATACTTAAATACTTTAACCGATTGTAAGGGTGAAAAATGTAGCCGTTGCATTTGAATGTTAAATTACCTTTCTCATTTTTATACTTTACTTTTTGGATGTTAATATCAGATTCCAACTACTGTAATATTTTCCTGGTCAAAACTACCATAATGCACTTCTCGAAGAGGTAAATTTGAGTTATTATAATTTTAATCTTTAAAACCAGCATTAGTAAATAAATCTATTGACCTTTTTACATTTAGTTACTTATACAAATATCAAATCACGTTTGTTCCGCTCAACTGGCTTTCACCTCTCTGAAAGCAACCCTAGTATATTTTGTCAACCCAGGGTGTCCACATTCTGGAAAGTCAGGGATAGGCTAACTTAGTCATGGAAAAAAATTCTGGTCATTGAAAGTCATGGAAATCCCCAATGATAGACGGATTTGAGGGGACTTTTCAATGCTCTAGTGGGTCTAGTCGGCCGTAACCCCGACTAAGTTATCGTAGTATTTTTCAGGATTTTTCACAAATGTACGGCAATTCAATTTATTACAGTTGTACAGTTATGATTTTTGAATTTGTATTTAGTTCAATACAATCTGTCCCTACTCTACTACGGTTGACCAGGTTAGTTCGGATAATGGACCTTCAGATCGTTCAGACAGATTCCTATAACCTAATTGACCTAAATGAATAATTATGAAAGTGTTAAAAACATTTCAAGTAGGCTAACTTATTCCCAAACTAAAAATATACTCTGGCCTTAAGTTTAATTTTAAGTTAGGCTTACTATATTTTATTCATATTTTGCACCAAACATGTAGGTACTTAAGTTAAGTCAAATTATCTTTTACTTTTAATTCTCTAATTTAATTTGTACATGTAAGTTAACCTTACTTTTACACACCTTGGCATATAAATCTACCGGTTTGCTATTTAATCAATTATATGGATTTTAGCGATATCTGATCTGCAGATCTGTACTCATGAAATAAAATTGATTCAATCTTTGTTTAAGGGTGCGCTCTACCCCAGACGCGTAACCAAATGCAAGGGTTTGCAAGATTACTGTTTTCACCTGTTACGTTGAAAGTAGGATCAAAGTTAAGGTCTCATATTAAAGAGAATGAAATTTTCTATAGTTCTGCGTTTCATTATTTCATTTTTTTTTAATACACACCTTATAAACTTGATTTGTAGGACATGAAAAAAGGTCCTTTCAACTAGCCATAACTTATTGAAAAAACGTGATTTGAAATTTTGAAAAACGCAGAACTATAGATTGGCATTTGCACTACTATAAGCAGTTTGGTAGCTATCATTATTGGTTAATTCGAAAACAGTAATCTTGAAAACCTCTGGAAGCGCTTCTCGCGGCATTACCCAATGGTGCAACATAGCAACTGAAGCCCGAGCTGAGATTTCCCAGCTGAGGTAGAGCGCACCTTAAAATCCAGGCAGTAAGTTACCTTATTAAAAGTAAATTTACGGGAACTAAGTTAAGTTTTTAAAACTTTTGAATATGGCTCTAATATTTATGCTCGGTTCTATTCGCTTCCGTTTTGGTGTGGGCTGAGGTATAATGGAAACACAAATAAATCATTTTAAACTATTGGGTCAGTCCTAGTTCTCCACTCCTCAGTTCCCGACACCTGTCATCTCTGTCTCTTTGATTTGTCTTTGAACAAAAGAAAAGTGAACAAAAAGGCTTAAGTTACACGAACAGGTCTTTTCGGTCTTGTGATCCGGGTCACTTGTTCACTTGAATGACCTTTTGGATTCAAACGGGTCTTGATCAAACAACCCTCCTCTATCTAGGTCTGTCCACGATCTCACTTTGGAATCGAACCTGCTAGGCCTACATTCGAAGGCGAGCACTATAGCCACTCAGCTACCCAGAAAATTTAGGCTAGTTTAATAATAATTTGTTCCATTTTAGGATGCTTGCAAACCACATTACCATCATGGTTGTGAGAGCAAGAATGATGGCAATACATTCCAAGAGACGATGGCAAACCAGAATACAACAGTGGAGACTGATTGCAGCAACTTTGACATTGTCAAAGCCACCCAGGTAAGGATGATTTCATTAGGTTAATTATGATTGTGTACAGTACCGGTACATTTTTCTTTATTTGCATAATTCAGTTTTTAGTTCTGCAAATTATCTTGTACAACTTAAGCTGCATATTCTAAATAACTAATTAAGTAGGCCTATCACCTAAAATTTGGCATAAAATCTGACAGTGGTCTGTTAAATATTCTAATTTTAATTAACTTGAATGTGATCTGTCTAAGAAAAATTCAACCAATTATTATGCCTTCTGGTGGGTTTAACATTCATATTAAGATTTTAATACACACATTAACTGTCGCTAAACACGTTCGCTGCTGAGCGGTCGAAATCAGCCGGTGCTAACTACGCGCCGGGTACTGCGCGGTCGGACGTTCCCATGATTTAACTTTGAACAGTCAGTGTGAGCTCAGCCATTGACGTGGAAACTTAATTGTTGCCAGCTTATAGCTTAGAATGCGAGCTTTATTTTGGTGTAGGTTGGTACTAAAATTTCCCGTAAAATCCCGTCTGGCAATGCTTTTGTCCCGGTTTTGGAGATTTTCTCTCTGCAAGCCACATTACAAAGACACTGGCTACGGATCCAGTCAGTGCAGCTACTTTTGGGTGTTTCAATGAACCACATCCACTCTCAGGGTAACGCAGCACAATCACCGCTGCTCTTTTGTGTCGTCAAACTGAAATATTTAAATACCAATTGCGTTTGCTGATTTGGTGGCACACCGGGGCTTCGCCTGGGCCTTGCCGCCATTGGCGAGGGCTTGTTTGATATATGCCGCAGTGAACGTGTTTAATCAAAGCAACTATATATTGGGTAACTTATAGTATTTTTAGATAAACACTAAACAGGTAGCAAGAGAAGGTTTCTAGGTACTAATTACGTCTGATATAGTGGCCTTTCAGCCTAAAGAGCCATGTAATTAAAATTAGAGGCTCTCTCTATGAATTTTAAAACCCGGGAAAATCATTAGACAAAATTTCCAAAGTAATTCAAGTACGGTACGGTACATTTCATTTATGTATTGTACAGTACGGTTCGCTGGAGCGTTGTCGACAGCTGGTGGAGGCTGGGTACGATGTGAATCAGCCTGACAATGAGACAGTCACGTTGCTACACTGGGCTGCCATCAACAACCGTCTGGACATCATCAGGTACTACGTGTCCAAGGGAGCTGTGGTGGACGCTGTAGGCGGAGAACTTCTAGCCACCCCCCTCCACTGGGCCACCAGGTAAGTTATGTGGTATGGTCTTAGGTTAGTTTTTGTTTTAACTTAGAATAAATTAAATATGTGAGTGTTTATCAGTCTTGTCGTCGCCCTAGTTTTTGAATTTGGATTTAAATACGGCTAAAGCCCCTTTTACTAAAAGGTTTTTTACCCTGATCGACTCTTTCAAGCTGTTCGGCAGTGTTTTCGGGCATTCAGCTGAGATCAAGTGTAGTGAAACATTACAATAGCGCATGGAATAATAACCTAATATCTACTGATCTAGCTTTTTTAACTTTCTATATTAACGGTACCCGGTATCATCAAAATACTTTTTGCCAGTCCAATTCAATAATTTCATCTACCTAGCTTTCCATTGTTTAAAGTCATTTCTTTGTAGGTAGTACTCTGACAATCTCAAAAGTAAATAATTTATATTTTTCGTAATTTTTATAGGCTAAAAAGTCATACGTTTCTGTCAACTTACATGCTTACAGCTTGTTTAGGTTACCGGTATGGTATTAGTCTTACTATCTTCACTGAAATTTATCATAATTAAATGAACATTACATGAACATTTTATATGTTACTTTACTGCTCTCCGACTTTTCCAGACAAGGTCACATTGGCAGTGTCACGTTGCTGATGCAGTATGGTGCTGATCCTTCGCTGAGGGACGGTGAGGGCTGTTCCTGCATCCACCTGGCTGCCCAGTTTGGCCACACGGCCATCGTGGCCTATCTGGTGGCCAAAGGTGTCAATCCTAACATGCAAGACCGCAACGGCATGACTCCTTTGATGTGGAGCGCTCATAAAGTACACAGGTTGGTTAGTTAGGTTTTTAAATTTATTTCTAATTGGCTGAACATAGAAATAATTCTTTTAACTAGGCCTAAATCCTTAGAGCAAGTTACAGTATTAAAATAATATTTAAATTTGAAATGAAATGTGAAGGTCCTACGAACAGTGCCAGGTTTAACATCATGGTTGACTAGGCTGTGGGCTAGTGCCATAAGATAACATACCCCTGCCGCAGCAAACCTTGCAGACTGAGAGAATTCTAATTTGCCAGATTGGATTTCCACTTAGATCTATTTCAATAACATTATGTTCAACGGAATACCTAGGTTTTCTGCTACAGAGAGGTTAGGAAAGTGAGTTTATGGGGTGAAATATTAATAGCTTAGTATAAAATAAATAAATAAATATATCCATCTACAACAGTTTTTGGCCTCTGGTGAACAAGTAGCCTATATCGGTCCTGGGTTCGGGTCTAACCGTGCCACCTACGGTAATAGTTAGGCCTACCCACCTATATAAGGAAATTAGCTAAAAAACCTGCAATGTTTAGTGCAGACACAAATTTTTAGAACAAAATGTGAATCTTTACTAGGTACCTATCTAAAATTAATAATTCTTTGTAATCGCGAGTAACAATGATGATGTTCCTATGATCGCAAGAGATCTTCACGATTTTGCCGCGATCGTGGGGAAGTTCCACCTAAGGGGCAGGAATAAGGGCTCAGGTCAGTTTGGTAGTCCCATTTCTGTAAAAATTATGGTTCAAAAGTTATTGTAAATTATGTTGTTTTCCCACAAAAAACCCATAAAAAAAACTAATAATAAGACTTTAGAAAAAAACCCGGTTTTGATTTAACTAAACATGATTTTATGGTCCTTAAAATTTTAAACATTTTTTCTTTTTTTAAAAATTTGTATTTTTAATGGGGATTTCCCATAAAACTTCCTCTTAAATAACAGAAAAATAGGATTTTCTCGAAAATGGCCTGAACAGTTTTCTTAAAAATTTAGATGTTATAGTAATTTAAACTGTGAACAAAATGGTACAAATCCCATTTCCGTAAAAATTACGGTTCAAAAGTTATTGTAACTTATGCTATTTTCCCATAAAAAGCTAGAAAAAAATCTTATTTATTTTGAAAAGCTGTTTTTGATCAAAATTAATATGTTATGGTTAGTGATGGGCCGATTCCAGAATTGGTCGATTCCGATACCGATTGCGATTCCAGAACTTTGGTTTCGATTCTCTATTCCGCACTCGATACCAATAACCGTTATAGATTCAATAACACATATATTTGTGCTTCTCATGATACCTATAAATAAAGGAGCAAGTTATTTTTTTCATTTATTCTTAATACAAACATAACTTATCTGAATTACTACATAACTTAACTGAATTGAATAAGGTCATAGATAAGGTTAGCCTATAAGAAAATAAGATACTTCAAGAAGACATAGGGTACATTTTAACATATTTTATTAAATTCAATTGAAACAACAAACACCGGTTTAGGTAGGCCTAAAATTTTCACTAAGTTTTATGTTTGCATAAGCATTCGTAACTAGGGATGGGTTGATTCCGATTCTCGATACCTTGATAACTTCGATACTGTAAAATATTATATTTACTCTCACCGCTTACCCATGATGTAGGTTGTTGACAAGCTTATGGGAGAAGTTTTATTTCCTTAATCACTTAAGTTTTGACCTTTAGTATGACCAACCTATAGGCCTACTAAATGCAAAATACTGTAAAATTGAAATATGGATATTTTGTTTTTTTTTTATAAAAAAAATGAAGTACCTAGGTAGCCTATTCTAAAAATTTAAAATAAGGTACCGATGGTACTGGAACCTAGAAACGATTTTGGCTAGGAACCGGTACTGGTACCAACTTTGAAAAAGTCTAATTTTTATGAGATTTTTTATAGAGATAGTAAAATGTACAACTAAGCCAGTGGTTTTATGGCCTGTAGATCAACAAAGCAAAAAAGTGAGGTCCTCATTGCTTTATGTGTATCAAATATCTCTTGTTGTTGTTACAGTTTAGATCCGACCAGACTACTGTTGACGTTTGGGGCCTCCACCACCATACAAGACAAGTACCAACAGAACACTGCGCTGCACTGGGCTATCCTCTCTAAAAACCACACGGCTGTTAGCACTCTAGTCATGCACGGAGCTAGTCTCGACATCGCTAATGCACAGGTCAGGCTAATAGTAGCTCAGTGAGCTTGGCATGGACAAAAATAACTAAATATATTATTAGTATAGGTTCTCGCATCCACCGTTGGGAGTGCTGTGTAGTTACGGCATACACGCTTTAAGTAACTGCACGGCGCTCCCAGCGGTTAACGCCAGAACCTAAGCTAATCGCAGCACGGCTGACGGTCTATATATCATTCTTTTTGTCTATGGCTTGGGTAGGTAGACTACATGTGAAAGTTTATTTTCAGCCGAATGGTGTTTAAGTGTGATGGCAAGATATACAATAAGAAATGAGTTTTTTTACTCCCTGTAGCTTGAAATATTCTTTATAGGTGATGGCCTGATAAGGCAAAAAACAAAATAGAATAACAACAAAATTAATAATCACACTTAAAAGTTGTTGTTAATATGTTAATATTATCAAAGTAAAAATTTAACTCAAAAAAGGTTTGATTGTTAGAAAGATCTTAAAGAAAATGAAATAAACTAGTACTTTATTTCTGTTTGTAACAAGCACAGCATTAAATAGCCTAGATAAGCATTCCAATGCTTGTCAAAACTGTCAACAGTCAATTGATTTGAACTATGTGTTGTTGAGTGCTGGAATTCAATGGGATAAATGCAAGTTTTTCCCCATAGATCATAATAAAACACTTTAAAATAAGTATTAGTTTTAAATACAAAATACCTGTATTATGCCAGGAAAAACCTTTGAAAACATATTTTGGCTGTATTCAATAGAATAAATATATTACTCAAATAATCTTTAACCATCTAAATGAGTATCCTAAATATCTAATAAATACAAGTTGTACGCCTATTCTTAAAAGTTATAAAAATTTACAGGAAGGCACTATATTTTTCTGTTCAAATATTGACAAATTCATAAATTGTTAATCATTAAATAATAATTTGTATCTTGCTAAGTGGTAATGTAAAACAGTTCTACAATTAAGTCTACACTAAATCATCACATTGTAAACTGGTTTATGCAGTAAATAAATTAAAATAGTTTAATTAGGCTAATTAAAAACTTTTAATTCTACTATTTAAACTTAGGCCTAGTATTAACTCGAAAGGAAAGTTAGTAGTTGTTGTAAAGTCAAAAACAATCCTCATACATGAACTAAGTAAAGTTCTATAGTGTTCCTAAATACCCCCGCCACAGCAAACCTGCAGACTAAGTGAATTTCCATTTGCCTGATTAATTTGCAATTAATCTATTTAAATAACATTAGGATTAACAAGTACAGTACTTAGGTTTACTGCTACGGGAGTGTGTGTTTTTAACAAAATATTAATAGCTTAGTATAAAATAAATAAATTTGCCAAGTTTGATCAAAATATATCAATTAACAAGCAAACTACAACAGTTAACATATTCTCTATAAGAATAACATGGGAATTTTAAATTTACAATATTTTGATTATTCTCTTTAGCCAATAACAAAAATACTAAATTATTTTTTTAAAGCTCTACAAATTGGTTCAAAGAGAAATTAGGAAATTTTATGTTTTGTGGGTCAAAATTGAGAAAAGGCTATTTTTACCCCATAAGACTCATGACAACAGTCAAACAGGTCAACAGTCTCAGGTTGGTGTTTTAAACTCATGTTCCCATGGTCTGATCATGCGGGTTCAGAAACTCATTCAAGTTTATCCTGCCCTACACCTTCAAGCCAAATTTGATCAAAATCGGACCAAAATTGTAACTCAAGTTATCGTGTTCACGGATGTATATTTATATAAATCTATATACTGTATATACATGTATAAAAATTTGAACCAATTGTGTTTTTGACTTCTATGGACATCAAAATGGAAAATTATATTGGTCCCGGGCCCAGATCGTACCGTGCCACCTACGGTAATAGCTACTTCCTATAGGGAAATTCGCTAAAAGAGAACACTATTGTCGGAGCCACGTAAGTTTGCAGTTGGTAGCAGCCAATCACAAGACAGGGCTAGTGCGACGTTGCCACATCGCCCATTGACAACACTTATTAAATATACAAAGCAATATTTTCAAATCAGCTGGTATTATATTGGTTATATTTGGCAACACCGCACGGTTCTTATTGGTTCATTCAAAACCATATGGTAAATAGGCTCCTCCCTCAACTGCAAACTTATGTGGCCCCGACAATAGGAAACTATTTCTTAAATTTAATTGGCTTGTATCCGTTGCAGATTATAAAACGACCCATATTAGTTTCTGATGGGCAGCCGAGGACGAAAAAAATTAATACATATATTTTTCTATTCTAGGGGGAAACTCCATTCTCGTTGTTGAGTTCACCAAAGGCCTCTTCATGGGTCGGCAAGAAAGTTCTAGAGAAGGTTGTTGAACATTCTGGTGCTCACACTAGACAGAACTTCTGTAGAAGGTTCACCAGTGATAAGGTTAGTAGAGAACCTTAATCCAACTCGATAGTTTAAAACCTATTTACTGTAACTTACAGTAGTTTCGCCTTGTTCCTTCACCAAACCTCTATTCCAATATTTCCTTATAGTTTGATGAATAAAATATCCTCCATATTGTAGAACACCTTTATCAAATCATGGGATTACTGACATCTCATAGTACACAAAGTCTTCTAGAAGTCTGCAGCACATTTAATTGCATTCCAACTGCGACAGTTTCTGGTTGAAAAAATTATTAATACATTGGACCTTTGTAATTTGGTATGACTGTTGGTATTGTGTTTGATTAACAGTAGTATGGTGATGAATTAGTGTTTGGCACTTTGTCTTTTGCTTCTTTGGCCCTTGGCAGAGGTCGTGTTTTATATACAGTTTGTTTCTTAATTTCAGTAATATAAAACCCGTTTGACCAAATAATACGATTTAATCATAAACAATAACTTTTCCCCTAGTTATATAACCAAACAGTAAAGCAGAAATTAAGAAATTAAATCTAAAATAATATAAACAAAAATTCGTTGACAGTAGCGCCCAGTGTCACCGTACATGAACCGTACACGAAAAACGAGCTTTAAAATTTATAATGAGATAAGAAATCTACTTGTGTTGGTTAGTCTATGATTAAATACTCTGGAAGTGCACTGTATGAAAGAATCTTTGCAGGAGAGTTTTTTCATAATACCTGTTTTATGTTACAGAGGATAAGATATTGGTGCATGGTGGGAACACCTTTCCTAGCGTTCTACGCCATCGGGGTCACTCTACAAACGAACCTACCTTACCCAGTCAAAATAGCCATCCTAGTCATCGGTTACATCGGCATCTATTTTGCTGGCAGATACGTTTTTGATGACAGGCTTATGAATCTTCTTCCAATGTCTGTGTACTTAGCTACTAAGGTAACTGGAATATTTAATTTGATTTAATTAAATACTCTTCATTCACAACAATATATCTGAACAAGAATAGTGTACATTAAAATTGTATTTTAAGGCAAAGCCACATAGTTTATTAACGAGTCTTTAAAAAAAGATAGATCTCATCTAGCTTACTAGTTTAGTGAAGTGACTAGCTTTGTATTATGATTCCCAAAATCCTACAAATTAAATCAAGATTTCAAGAGTGGATTTTTAGTGTCCCAGAATTTATGATTTAAGGGCTAAATTATTTCGTCAGAAAGTTAGCGCTAAATATGTTGTTTTTGAATAAAAATTGTGGCTTTGATCACAATATGATGTCATGTAATGTTACAGTTCTGGTTCTACGTGACCTGGTTGCTGTGGGTCGCTCCTGCAGTTGACTTCCTAGAGTCCCTGTTGTTCCTGTCCAGCTCGCTGCTTCTCTGGCACTTCTTCCTCAAATCCTGGAGAGGGGATCCTGGGGTCGTGGCTGCCACACAGGATCAGAAGTTCAGGGTCAGTCACACACTGTTTCTTTATTAACAATGTTGACTCTTGGTCTAACTCACTCGGTAACCTGACACTGCAACGAATAATTGATATCTACAATCCTGGAATTTTTGCGTCGTTCCAGCAGTGTCTAATCTGATTTTTTACAGTGAAAGGAAGTGATTATAGGGTAGAATAAGTACCTAACTGTGCTTGAATACTGTGTTTTGTAACTTATCAATATAACTTATGTACTAGATTTTATCAGTATAGGTAGGCCTAATTGAATTATAATACAGGTATTATTTAGTTTTATGATATTCAGGCCTACAAAAAACTGCTCAGCTGTACACAAGAGTTAATAGACCAAATCACATAGTTTTAGCAATCAATACAAATTTCCTTAACTGATTAATCTTAAGGCCTAATAGTCACATCATACCGAATAAGTCGATTTTTCTTAACTCCTGGAATATATTTGTTATTAATCTGTTTATATTTGTAATCCTACATCTTCCTGATCCCATATGTGTATTGAGAGTCAGCTGTATAATAATGGCAATCCATTGTTAATAATTGTATATTAAGTACTTTAATGATACATGTTTTGCCAAACAAAAAAGTATTTATCCTATCACAGAGTTTTAAATCCTAATAACTAGATTTTACCTAATAAAGTTGTTATCTAACAGTGATATAAGTGGTAAACAAGACGGATATGGTCAGATTGAAATTATAACAGCAGTTACATTCTATATAAATTTGACTAAGTTGTAATCAATAATTCTCAATCAGACCCATTTTCTTGCCTTTCACTCTAGTGGTATGTTCTGATTCATTAATTATTAAGTATCTACTTTTAAGAAGTCATAGACAAATGTTTCAATGTTTTCTGTTGTTCAGACAATAATTGAGCTGGCGGAGAGGGGAGGATTTGAGCCGCAATGGTTCTGCAGTTCCTGCCTTGTGCGTAAGCCAATCCGCAGCAAGCACTGCTCAGTGTGTAACCGCTGTGTTGCTAAGGTAAGTTCTAAACTGGGGAGGATTGGATAACTAATTTAATTAATTTTTTAAGCGTTGAAAGTTAAAAAGAGTGTAAGTAACAAAGATTCTGTGATTGAATTTAGGCAATTGTAATTATCCGTAAAGATAAAGTAATGAAGAAAGTTAGTTGTGTAGAGAGATTTCCTAAATTATTGATGGACAGGTTTCTGAAATTTGGGGAAATTTTTGGGAAAACATATTTATATTTTTGGGTTGGATTACATTTAATAAGGTATTTTCTTGGAACGGGATTTGTTCCAACGCCAGCAGTTTCAACGCAATTTGAAGTGACTGATGTTTCACAATCACGGGAGAACTTAACAATTTTGCCGGTATGGCAGGTAATGATAATGAGTATACAGTTGTGGATGTTCATCATTTTGCCACTTTTGAGGAAACAATGAGGAAGTCTTTGCAATTGTTGGAGATGTTCACAATTTAATTGATATGACGGGTGACGATGATCATGTCTCTATTTCATCGCAAGAGATGGCTATGATTTTGGCGCTATTGCAAGAAACGATGGTGATGTGTCCGTAATTGTGGGAGACCATCATAGTTTTGCCATATTTTGGTTGATGATAAAGATATCTTAGCCTTTGTGGATGATAACAATGATTGTGCTGCAATCAGAAATCATCACAGATTTGATAAATAGCCAACAGATTACAAAACTATAGTTACTAAAAAGCTAATGTACTACTCTTCTAAAGTGGTAACATCAGACATGCTTATAGTTTTAAGATTTTTGAATACCTTTTTTGCAATGTATACATATGATTGACAGTTTGACCACCATTGTCCGTGGGTAGGCAACTGTATTGGTGCTCACAACCATCGCCACTTCATGGGCTACCTGCTCATGTTGCTGGTCATGTGCGTGTTCCTGTTGTATGGCTGTACACAGTTCTGGCTCACTACATTATGTGGTATTATGATTGACAGTTTGACCACCATTGTCCCTGGGTAGGCAACTGTATTGGTGCTCACAACCATCGCCACTTCATGGGCTACCTGCTCATGTTGCTGGTCATGTGTGTGTTCCTGTTGTATGGCTGTACACAGTTCTGGCTCACTGCTGTGTGCTTTGACATGTCCCAGCCAAGGCCTCATTTCTGGACCGGTGAGATTTATGTGATATTGTAATAGAAAAAATTATATTGTGTAGTAGTATGTTTTATTTTAGTGTAGTAATGAGTATGTATTATCTTCACTTTCATGATGAAGTAAAACTACTTTAATCTGACATCAGAATTACAAGTTTAGTCACTGTGATCATAGACATACCCGAGGGGGCCCTGCACCCACCATGAGGGGAAGGAAGATTAAAAAAGTTATGCTATTTTCTGTTGTACTGAATAATTGAGGGAATGCACAAGTTTGAAGTGCAACACTGGTTAAAATGCAGCTCCCCTCTTTCCTGGGCTCTTCAGTAAGCCACCCCCCCCCCCCTCCCGTACATTACTCTGGCAGCGCCCTTTATATCCTTACGGTATCCTCTGCAATCAACAGCCACGACCATCTTCAGCCATCGTGGCAATACGATTATTACCCATTAAGATTAAGATTCTCACCCCAAGAGAATCCCTAAATCCTGCCAAATTGGGCAATACAAAATTTCTTGAGAAGTTTCAAAATTGTTTATACTTGAACATCCCCATTAAGTTCCCTCCATTATGTTTACTACCTTGAACAAATTCACTAGTTTTTGTGTGACTAGATATGTACTGAGGGTTGTATGTTTGACAGTTGACCTGATAGACTCAGGTATGTGGCAGTATGCTCAGTGTGACTCGTGGGTGGCCTGGGTGGCTGCCAATGCCTTCCTTCACTCCATCTGGGTGGCTACTCTCTTTGGCTGTCAGCTATATCAGGTAAAGACTTTGTTGTATTGCTGGTTAGTGGGGTCTTGTTGGGTTAAATACTGTTACATACAGACATATCCTTTTCCGTTACAGTTATCATTTCCAGCTTTTAGCGAATTTCCCATATAGGGAATAAGCTATTACCGTAGTACTCATGGTAAGACCTGGACGCGGGACCGATTTTTTTTTTCGTTTTGAGGTCCCTAGAGGCCAAAAACACCATCCGTTCAAATTCATATATATATATATATATATATATATTTATATATTTATATATATATATATGTGTCCGTCAGCACGATAACTCGAGCAAAAATGATCCGATTTTGATGAAATTTGGTACAAACGTGTAAACCTACGTTTATTCAAACGAGTTCGCGATCCAGCATGATCGGACCATGGGAACGGGGGTTTACGGGGGGTTTTATGGGGTAAAAATAGGTTTTTCCCATTTTTGACCCAAAAAACATCAAATTTAGCAATTTCTTTCCAAACCATTTTGTAGAGCTTAAAAAAACAAATAATTTAGTATATTGAAGCGTTATTATGCGCCTAATGGTTACGGAGAAAATTCCAAAAAATTGTAAATTTAAAATTCCTACGTTATTCTTATGGAGAATAAGTAAACTGTTGTAGTTTGCTTGTTTGTGAACATATTTTGATCAAATTTGGAAAATGTTCTTACTAACTATTCACATTTGACAAAAAACAGTTTTACCCTCCCTGATGCAGCAAACCTAAGTACTTGTTAAACTAATTCTATTTAAATCAAGAATAAATGTTATATTTTTAAGTAGACATTTCAGTGTAAATCCAATCAGTCAAATGGAAATTCGCTTAGTCTGCAGGTTTGCTGCGGCGGGGGTATTGGTATCATCTGGTACTCTCCATCTTCTCATAATCTCCACAGTTCCTCTTCCTCTTCTGCCATCTCTTCACCTCATCTATCCACCTTCTTTTAGGTATTCCTTTCCGTCTCCTTCCCTCCATCACCATCATGGTTTAATACAAACTCGTAAGATTTACACATACTTTGAAACACTTTACAACCCTGGTTTTTTAGAAACAGTGTAATTTACTCACAAATTTTCATATGATAATTTCAGATCCATCCCTAGGCAGATATATTTATGGTAAATATTGGTAAAATGTGGTAAATATTTTGATTTTCAAAAAAATGACACAGTTTTGTCATTTTTCCATGTTTCATTGGATGCTCAAATCATATTATTAACCCAAGTGAGGAAGTGTATGATATTAGTGTACTCACTTTTGTTCAAAATGTCTGGGTTGCCAAGTGGTCATAGCGTTCACCTTCAAATCTGAAGACACCTGGTTCGATCCCTAGTCGATTTTGGACCCAGATGCCATTTGTGACTTCTATCGATGGTGTTATAACAAAAGGTTGATTTTTAGATGTTAACAAGACAGAGATTGGAATATTCCCTTACAAAAAACGCTAATGGCATTAAAACAGGAAAAAAATCACTATGTTATCATTTTAATTTGTTCTTCCACTCTGAACAGATATCGGTGCTGGGTATGACAACCAACGAACGTATGAACGCCGGCAGATACCGACACTTCCACGGCACCCCTGGCACAACCAGGAGCCCCTTCCACCGCGGCAAGTGCCAAAACATTGTAGACTTTGTACAGTGGCGATGCTTTGGACTCTTCCGTCCCGATCCTACTGACTGGATGACCAGGTATGTGCAATAGTGCAGTTCAATGAGTCATTCGTTGCGTAGTTGAATCATGCGTAGAACACTGTCAATTATTAAACCAATGCTCAATTGAAAAAACCTTTATCATTTTGCAAAGCAGTATTTTGGTTAGTAAATGTTTTAAATTTGTTTGAACTTGGATTGCATTTCTTGTTTTTTAGCCACAAACTTTACAAAACTGTTTAAACAATACATTAACAACATTTTTAAATCCGTTAAATATTATGAAGATGTTTATATTGCTGTTGGACATGTATTTTCCCTACAGCAGGTTGAGCTTCAAAGAAATTATGCACATGATAACTTAGGTGGTAAATTAAATTAACAATTTCCAGGTATCACGTTCGCAGTCCAATTGAGCAAGAACCTCTTCTCAACAGCAAGGACAATTTCCAATATGTCTAACCGACCGTGGTTTGTTCATTGTTTTATACCGGCTGTGGGAATTTATTTTGTATCTACGTCGGCTGACATTCGATAGCCTAGTCTTATTTATTAACATTTAGTTAGATTATACCTCTTTCATATGTGATTTAAGTATAATTAAAACAATGCAGAGAAACTTAGTAATATTACTACATAGTCTGGTTACAATATTTTATACAAGCATTATGATCAATTTTCATATCAAATAAATCAATAATATAGATTAAATAGATTATTATTTTTTAAAGTTTAGAGAATGTATTTGTTAAGTGTTCAGATGGTTTTTAAAATAATCATGGACAACACCCATTAATCAGTATTTTGGTAAAAATTACAAAATAATTTCACTATATACATAATCTTTTAACACTATAATCATATAAAATAATGTAAAACAATTATTTTTTCCTACAGTTAACTTACCTGACAAAGCAGGCTTCCTTGCAATGATTATAGCACGCAAAGTAGCTAATTGCTGCATTCACTTACTTTTACCGCACTCATTTTACTTGCCACTCTCCAGTTTTCCAACCAAACAAAACAATAGAGTGTGCTTTTATAAGACATCTAATAGTGTATGCTTGAAAATAAATTGGCAACACTTAAAGATACTACGATCAGCTGGTGCAGTGTTTCACAGCTTTTTAGTATTGATACTACGACTTAACCTGTTGTTTCATGTTAACATTCTATTGTTGTTCAACGCTTGGATTTAACCTTACCTAAAATGTGTTGTTTAGTGTTTAAAAGACTTAAAGATTGATATGATTTGTTTATAGTAACTGTAGGAAAACTATAATGTGTAACGTGAGCGCAAAGTCCTACTTTGCGCATTAGTTACAAAAATAACTATTATTTTTATATTCCAGTACAGTGGCATAATTAAGTTTTTTTTATTGAAAGTCCAAACCCTGGTCTTGTTAGTATTTATTTTTAGTACTTTTCTATTATATCCAGTAATGTATTATGTTATGTTCTTGTTAGTTAAATAACTATTGAATACTTAAGAAAAGTTAGAAATAAAACCATTACTGTCTAGTCTACTTTGGTCCAGTTATGTCGTATTTGGAAACATTTTCTCTAAATATTGTTGACGAGGGATTCTTTCCTCCAATAGCAATTTGTTTACCATTTCTTGCTTGTTGGTATTATTTTGTACATATCAGTTTTAATTATTTATCTAAAAAAATAACAAGATTTTAATCAACTTTTGCATAGAGGCTCTGATTTTACCTTTTTTTTGTGAATATCAAGGCAATTATGAAATCAAATAGTTTAATAATTTAGTTTTGTAATTAAATTGAACATGCTTCTTTATTTAATCGTAATATTCACATGCATTAGAAAGGAAAAATATTGCTTTATGATGTTGTAAAAATTATATTTTAAGAATTATATTGTTTTGTATAAACTGCATTCTTCCTAAGCACAATAAGTTTTATTACTGTGCTTTGGAACACTTTGTTGACTTTGTTATTTAATGTTTATTTTACTTTAGGATATAAATGCTTGTGCAAACACTTAACTTGTAAAGCATTTAACGAAGAATTATATGATTCAGTTATTTTACTTGATGCGTAACTTATACGAATAATAATGTAATATTCCAGTTACAATACGTCTAAATATTCTATGCGCTTTGTATTGTTAGGCTGAGCACCGTGATCGTTAGTCGTTGAGTTTTGTAAATAAATATTCTTGTAATTTATTGCTATTTGTACAGTAGTAGTCAAGTATTGTATAATACTCGTCTACAATAAATATTGTTCCTCTAATCTAACTACGAACACATTTGGCTTTTGAACTTTCCTAATAATCATTGTCTTAACATTTGTAATGTATAAAAACACGTTTACTGCACTCGTTAGCTTTAGATTTGCAACTTAAATTGTTAAGGTGTTCAAGCTTACTCCATGTTATCGCTGTAGTTTAGTGTTATGAATTTGGACGACTCAGTGGCACACTTGTATTTAATTTATTAGCTTTAATGATTTTAGTACAGTTTAATTTATATTTATATGTCAGGTCTTGTAGATTTATAATTTGTTTATCTAAGAATATTTCTATGAATTTTTTTTTATTGTTTATTCTGTTTAGTTTTTAGAGTAATCTACATCTGCAAAATGTAAAAATCCACTTAGTATTTCATATTTAAATACCAATATTTAAGGCCTAATAGATTGAAGGTATCAGTAAACAAATAAACTACAACAGTTTACTTATTTTCCAAAAGATTTGATTATATAAGATTAACGTAGGAATTTAAAATGTATAGTTATTATACATTTTATCTGTAACTATTTTAGAAGTACCATGCTTCAATGTGCTAGGTTATTGGTTTTCAACTCTACGAAATGTTTTTTAAAATAAACTGCAAAATTTTAGATGTAGAGGGTTAAAAATGAGAAAACCCAATTTCCACCCTATAAAACCCCGCTGCTGATTTGCGAACTCACCCAAATTAATGTAGATTTACTTGTTTTACAAAATTCATCGAAATCGGATGATTTTGATTCAATTATCGTGCTAATTAACGGACACATTCATTATGAATTTGAACGGACTGTGTTTTTTGGCTTCTGGAAGCATCAAAATGAAAAATTAAAGTGGTTCTCGGTTTAGGTCTTACCAAGAGACCTACGGTAATAGCTAAATGAGAATTTCACCAAAATATGTTACATGATAGTTGATATTTGTTTTAACATTATTGCCACTAAGATTAATTCATTATTCAGTAATGTTCATTATTCACTCTATGCTTATAGAGTTTAAAGGTTGATTCACATTTTTGCGCAATATTTTCATTTTGGTACTAATATCTTTTCAAAAACTAAGCTTTGCAAGCCTTGCAATGTATTCCTCACTTCTGTTACAATAAAAAATACCAAAAAAATGAATTAATGATTCGGGTTTTCTTATATGTTATCTTTGTAATGTGGCAAACTTGATGAATGAAGGAAATATATTTAAACAATTGGATTACTAGCTGTTGGTGTTTCATAATAATCTTTCAAATTATTGTAATGAAGTTGAATTTTTATAAAATTGTTAAAGCTTTGATGTGTGATATGATTCATAATTTTTATTTATAGCATTGACTCGGGATTCTGATGTTAACATCTCATATGTGGAGCAGTTGCTGTTAGTTTTTTTCCTCTAAGAATGAAAGCTTAAATGTTAATTAATCAGTCGTAGTCTGTACAAAAATGATGTTCTATTTTATCTTTAAATTTTAACTTTAAGGTAGTTGAAGGAAAATAAATAATGATATTGCTGATCATAAGAATTTTTTATAAAAAAGAACGTAGTTGTGTGAGCCAGTCACAGAATGTGTTCGTGTCTAAAATTTTATTTGATACCTTATCTTTTGTTGCTGACCAGGTTGATGGGTCATAACAGTTGCTATAACTCATCATAAGTCATTCCCTAAGTTTAACTTGGTAAACAGGTTTGTGTGTTTGACTGAATTTAGTAATTTAGATCAGCGCAATCTGTAGGTGGCTCACATCAACTATGACAATTTTGATAAAAAACCTGGCTACAAATTTAACATGGGGATGGAATAGGTTTATGTTCAGTTTTGGTTTGGCTAAAGGTGTCAAGACTGGTTTAAGCAACTGACCATAGGCCATTAAAGAAATTAAAATTGAGAATTGAACTTAGTGTTTTTTTATATTTTTTTTACTGATTACAACTTTAACATGAGAATGGAATGTATACTTCCTGGTAGGGTATCTACAGGGTGATCAACTCAAGGGGACCACCATTGAGATATCGGAAATGGTAAGAATTAGAGAAAACTTTAAATGGGGGAAATTCTTTTATTTTTTGTTGCAGTTAAAAGAAGTATGAATTTAGTTTCTTTTTAATTCAGCCGCCATTTTCCAATATGGCGGCCAACTTTGAAATTTCTTTGTATTATATAATGTTTGCGGATAGAACATGCAATTAAAAAACTTTTTATTCTTGAGATTTTTTCTATAAAAAGGCCCTACTTGTTTAGGAGTTACAGCTTATAAAAAATTACTTCCGGTAAACATTGCATCATGTAGTTCATCATAAAATATGTAAAAATATTCATTATATTATTTCAAAAATGAATGGCAGCATATTTGAAAAGTGGAAAACGGTGTATTTTATGGTCTTTTTGGTATGTAGATGCAATTTTAAAACTTATTTCTCGTAGCATTTTTGCTATAAACCTACTCGTATAGAATCTACATGATGCAAAATGTATACCGGAAGTATTTTTTTCTTAGGCTGTAACTCCTAAACAAGTAGGGGGCTAGCTTTATAGAAAAAATGTCGAGAATAAAAAAGTTTTTAACTTGCATGTTCTGTCCGAAAACTTGATAAAATATAGAATCTTTCATAAAAATTTCAAAGTTGGCCGCCATGTTGAGATATGGCGGCTGAATTTTGAAAAACTAAATTCATATTTTTAACTGCTACAAAAATAAAAGAATGTCCGCCATTCAAAGTTTTCTGTTTTCTCTAATTCCTACCATTTCCGATATCCTAATGGTGTCCTCCTTGAGTTGATCACCCTGTATAGTCAACATTACTAGATTCATACCTTCTGTTGATGTAAGTATTGTTATAAATACTGATAATAATATTGTGTATAAATTGTAAATATTAAAGGAATAAATATTCACTCTATTGTGTATTGAAAAAAGAAAATTATTTACCTTGTGTGTATTGCTTGTTTAGTTTAAGAAAGGTTTAAGTTTTTCTTTGTACAGTAGACTCTCTCTTATCCGGACACCTTTTAACTGGACTACACTCGGCGGAAATGACATCTCTTTAACCGGGCAATTTTTATCAGCACATTGGCTTAACTGGACTAGATCGGCAGGAAGTGGGCAGTACTGAAAAGACTGTTCTCTTGGGAAAGATTTGAGACCAGTGATCACGTGTCTAAATACAATGCTCTCCTAAATTTAAGTGGAATATCACAGTAAACAGTCCGTTTTAACGAGTTTTCGGGGACGTCAGTTTAACCGGAAAACCCATTATCCGGACTGGCCTCGGTCCCGAGGAGTCCGGACAAGAGGGAGTCTACTGTATTATGATTAACAAAACTATCTAGGCTGAATTATAATGTAAATGTATTTTTGAAAAGGAGTTTTTAAACTTTTAATATAAATTGGATAAAAACCAATCCATTGTTATAGTTACAACCTGGGCATTTTCTCATTGGCAGATAGCAATCTAAGTAGGCCTACACTCTAAGTCACTGATTGAATATTACAATCATCTGGTTTGGAGTTTAGAGTTGGACTTCTGTCCTTGAGTTAGGGTTTGAATCCTGACTATCCCCTGTTTATGTGATAACAGTGTGCTCCACCTTTAGATCCATTTTATTTTATGTTCATTGAAAAAAAAAAATTTATGTTATGTTTATTTAAAAAAAAATTATGCGTACAAAAAATTTGTTGTATAAAACGGGTTGAAATCAAATTGCTGCCAATCCAGAAAATAAAATTAGGATACGTTTTTCAGGCAAGGAAATTTTTTTCTGTGTTGTAGAAGCCCCTTCACTAAAAAGCCATATGATAATAATACCAGTCAATTTGTTTGCCCATAATGTCAAACCATTTTGATACTAAATTTAAAAGCAGTTTTTTTTAATAAATCACAGATGGTTTTACACATTTACTTCGAGCAGGCCCGTGGTTCGTACTGTATGTGACAAGCTATGGGCCCGAGAGGTAGTTGTGCCTGCCCCCCCATCGGCAACATTTGATATAAAAATCATAAAATGAAAATAAAATATGCATTTTACGATTTTCACGCACATCCGCAGTTTAACAAAGATAAGGCTAGTTTTCATGTGCTCACTTTTGATTGTTACTAAAATTTGCAAAGTAAAGTAAAATATAGAACTTCAATTAAATACTGTTACTTCTATACAAATTATTTTTATTTCCAAGGGTACTTTTTCAAAAGTAAAATGGGTATAGTTATACAAAATTACTAACTTTGAATACAACAAATTTTGTTTTTATTTAAGATGTTACTACAAACATTTACAACGCTAAACACTCAACACTTTACATGACTGGTTTTTCTAATTTTTTTGCACGTTAACGACATCTTCAAAGTTCATTATTAAAATTACATAATTTTCTGTACACCAGCTCTTTAATGGTTCAGTATAGTTGGGTTGTTAACCTAAACCGTCAGTTCCTGCAGGCAAAGTTTTAATTCATTTCAAAAACACTTATTTAGGAATTTTATGTAACATTTTTCATTGTACAACACTTTTTTGCAGCCTTATTTCTAAACTCACTGCCACTTTTTTGATAATTTCATAGAAAAAGCGTGTGATTGTAAAATAAAGGATCTCATCGAACATAAATAAAATAATAAACAAAAAACACAACAACTTTGTTCACTAGTCAACTGATAATACGTTTCTCACCCAATTGTACAAAAGGAACTGAGTTTGGTTGTGATAATGATAAAATGATATTAAACATGAATTACAAATAAATATAAGATGGAACAAGTAGAGACATGCAAGCAGTGGCAGTGATGAATGGGAACTGAGCATGAAAAGGATTCTACTGTCGCACGATTTAAAAATTTTCTGTTGCTTCACCCCCCCCCCCCCCCCCCCCACCCCAACAAAACAAAAACTCTTGCGCTTCTGGGCTCGGGCCCATTTATAAACGCGATACTTTCTTCAAGAACACTCCTCGAAAAAGCCCACATCCATATTTTTAGGATAATAATAATATTTTATTGACGATATTCTTTTGGCACTGGATATTGAGTGAATCATATCTCAAAACATCAAAACCAGATATGATCTTGATTGGTATCAGAGATTGTGAGTTTTAGGATGATTTGGTGTGTCAGCCTTATCTGTTTGGTGAATTTAGTTCAAGCCTCATTTCCATCTTGGGCAGAAATTGTTTCAAGAACAAGATTTTGTCTGGGGGAAAACGCTCACGTAAGTATTATATTATGTTTTACTGTTTTACAGTAAATTTCAAATATAAATATTAAACTCATAAATAGACAACTTATTTCATTAATAAAAATCATCTCCAGTTTATACACAAAAAAGAAACTAACAGACAGTTTGTATGAATAATATTATGAATAGTATAAAATTACAAAAATCAACAACAATTTGTTACCAACTATGTAGCTAATTTGGTGATATTTTGTGTTGCTAGCCTAAGGTTAGTGTTTCAGAATGAACCAATTTGGAGAAGAGATTTTATCCTAGCACATACAGTATGATAAACAAATTTTAGACATCTAAAAATGTTTGCGTCTTTCTTATAAAAATGCCACTAGTGTTTGTACTCAAACTAAAAGAGGTTATAGCCATATTGATTAGGGAAGAAGAATTTTTAGTTAATTGAGTTTTAAGTCAAACAAGTCAATTTAATCATTAGTTTATTTTAACAATATTAAGGCAATATCATCATTAAACAAGTTTTTTTTTTTTAACCTGAAAGTATTAGGCATTTATAATATTAGGTGGTCTCAATGGCGGGCAAATCCAAGATGGCCGCTATCCTCCAATGACTCTTACATTTTTTATCTTCAAAACAGTGAACTTTATTAAATTAAATTACATAGTTTCATTGAGTAAAATGTGCACAATCTCCAACAAAAATGGTTTACATTAAATTTTTTACTTTTGGAGTATACTTTAATAGAAATTGTATCTCAAATTTTTGTTGCAGTGTCCAGTTAATGTATACAAGGATTTTGATATGTGCTGTAAGCCGTTAGTTTGTACAATAGTTCCAAAAACTTGCACTCCGAATTTTTTCAACAGATATTTCAACATCTCAAATTATAAGGACCGACGATGTTTGTTACCTTCAAAACAAATTTCCTCAGTCGAGTCTTCAAACCAAACCGATTCTTCAACTTCTTTTGTGGCTACTACTGAAAATGAAATTTCAGAAACTGCTAGCAATGAATTAACAAAATATGACTTTCCGGAAAGAATAACCAATGTTACAGATATTTTAAAGGAAAATAATACAACTGGTACAACCGATCTATCGGATAGTAACAATAACCAAACATGGCTTCCAAGTGAGTTTAAAACAGGATCAGAAGATGAGTCTGAAGACACATCACTGGACGAGTCGACCCAGAACTCGTTACTTGACAGTATGTCGTACTTTATAGACAGCAACAATGAAGTCAGACAATTGGTCAAAAGGTTTGTCTCAAACGACTCTACCAGTGATTCTCTATCCATCTCTTCAATATCACTTGAAGGAATGAACCACACATTCCAGCAAGATGAGTTTTCCAATTCCTCAAGCGAAAGTGGAAAAGAATCTGAGTTACAAATTGATAGTACTAAATTTAGCGAAAGTTCTGAAAGTGCGTCCAAATCTGGTGAAGTTTACGATGCAAATGAAACAGGTTTAGAACAAACGGTGGAAAACACTACTGCGGCAAAACAAAGGTATGTTTCTACAAAGACACAAATAGTAGAGTCAGAAGGAGATTGGCATTCTTCTGACATGAAACCTGACTCTCGACAAAATGTGTTCAAGATTGTTACTGTTCCGCCACCACAATGGTTTCAAACGGGTGCTGAAGTGGTTAAACTCAATCTCTCATCTGAAATCAGTGAATAATAATGAATGGTGTTCATTAACAAAATTAAGTAACTGTCTAGTTCATCAACTCATTTTTAAAAAAATCTCGGGCCTGTTTCTTCCTTTCTTGGTTGTCTAAACTATGATCTAGTATTTTTGATACTATACATACTGTACCAGACATAAAGAATGTTCTAATTCTGCTAGAGGCAGCCTTAAGTGTAATAAATTAAGTGACTAACGAGAACATTGTTAACAGCATTTTTTTTAACAAGAAAAATGAAAATTTAGATCTCTGAGAAACCGTGCTGAACCGAAGAACATTGGAGGTTCCCTTACTTGTATGGTTCCTGAACTGGGCCACCAAAATCCACTATTAATAGTGTAAATAGTATTTAAACTACAAAGTTTAGTTTAAGTTTTCTTTCTTCCTTCCTTCTATAAAATTTTTATAAGAAGAGGATGTGATTACAGTAAATATCCAGGATTCTATCTCTGGCTGCGCCTTTGTAATGCAGAATAAGATGGTGAAGTGTTAAAAACAACAGTGAACAAAAAAAAGTGATATGATATTCTCTTGCTATGTAAACACTATGTGCCTTCTAGATAAAAGAAAAAATATATATATAGGTTCAAATGATTTTTTTAGATCACTTTTTTTAGATCATTTAGAGTTTTTTTTTACCACAAAATAAACAAAAAATTACAATAATTTACAATCCTTGCGAAAACATTTCTTTTAAATCTTTCCAAAGTTCCCATTTTTATCAAGAAATAATTTTATGTGACCCAAGTTGTGGTGAACTATGGTGACTGTAAATCACACTTTGATTGAAGCATTTTGCCTTTTATATTTACTTTTTAATGCTTGCCAATTTATGGAATAATTTTGTTTGAAAACAATTGTTTCATTTGTGTAAGAAATTTCTAAAATAGGGTACACCATGCAAGATATTTAACATTACACACAAAGTGACAATCCCGTTTAAATTATTAAAAACCTCATAATCTTATATGGTTTTTTCACAACTTATTCTTTATTTCATACTTAAGTTTTCAAGAGCCT